GAAGTCTCACGTTAGTTAGGGTCTCATTTTAGATGTAGAGCCTTCAGAGGTCAGGGGAGAGGGCTGCACGCACAGGGAGAGAAACTGTTGTCGGACTTACGGAGGACACACTGAGCTGGTTCTAGGGGACGTCCTGGGGACACAGGCCCAGGCTGCAGGGGCTCCCGGGAGTCACGGTCGCTCGGCGGCCTTGGAACCGAAGCCTCCCACCCCCGGGGCTGTCCGGTGGGCCGCAGGCTGACTGCGGCGGTGGGTCCCCATCCCGGTAGGCTGAAGGAAAACTGTGGACCATGAATTTATTTGCCGGCAGCATTTCAAAGGCGCGCCTCTCCAATGACTCAGGGCAGTGCTCCTTCTGAGATGACCACATGTGGGTGTCGAAAGTCGAGAAAGTGCTCATGATGCAGCCACCAGGAATGACCGCCTCTGTGGAGGCAGAACGCCCCCGACCATGAACGTGAGCTGTGGGAGAAACAAGGTGCCTTCCGACTCACGGGACCAGGCTGGAGAGTGCAGGACACCACGGCAGCCCTCCACCTGCAGCGACCGGGCTCCTGCCCCAGGTAACACCCGCACCGTGTGCCTCCTGCAGCAGCTCCAGCGCGCGGGGCTGAGGCACAAAGGGCGAGAAGTAGCCGACAGGGACTCAGAGTCAGGTGTCTCCGAAGAAGAGGGAAGATTTGCCTCCTGGAGAGTGACTAAAGGGTGAGCGTGCCAAAGGGCCGGTCGAATGTGAAGAAGGTCGGTGACATGAGTGACAGTTTAGGAAGATGGGGAAGGGGAATGGCAACCGGAACCTTCCAGACTGAGCACCTTCGGGGACAAACCAAAAATGACACTGCTACAGAAAGGGCTCAGCCCGATGGTCAGGGCTGGAACGTCAGCACTTTCGGCGATAAATACCTCTTCACGGCGGCCCGTCCCAGAAACGGCTTCCTGTTGGAGCCCCCACTTTTAGGAGGTACCCCAAGGACTGCAAAAACTGTGCTGATGTTCATAATGCCACGGGGGCTCTCCACAAAATGCAAGAATGTTTCTAAGTATTTTAAATGTTTAAAAAAAATTCAAGTTGTATTTAACGTTTGTAAATAAGTTTACGTTGTAAAAGATTGTTAAGCCAGAGAGGGAGAACTCGCAAACAGGAACGGATCTTCCCAACGGGCAACACCCCAGAACTCAGGAACACGGCGACGATTGTGCGAAGTCACCCGTGTGCACGCGGACGTCAAGGCCTGCTCTCCGGACGCCGATGGGAACACGAAAACTGTAAGAGGTTGTCCTTGTACGTGATAAAGCACGTTCACGACTGTTAGCTCCTTTGTTCCCCCAAATAATCCTGTGAAGCTCAGGTGCTGGTCTTGTTGCCGTTTAACAGATAACGGAATGAAACCTGGCAGCACATTTGTGTATTTGGTGGAATACCCAAAGTCACACCGCCAGTGTGCAGCTGTGACTCCGCCCAGCCCAAGCCCCTTCCTCCTACACCAGGCATTGCGATTAACATCTGGTAAATATGCTACCTTAATGCAATTAATTAACTCAACAAACATAGTTGGAATGCCTGTTAAGAGCCAGAATGAGGGCGAGTCACTGCTCTCAAGAAGCTCGGAGTCCAACGAGGAAGTGGACGCGTAGCAGACAAAATAGTAGATAAAAAAAGTTCCATAAGGACATAAACACGGCGGGAAAGAAATGGACACCTGAGTGTGCCCAGCAGGTTGGTCTGCATTGTGCTCCAGAAGACGCCCAGCCACCTGGAGCCTTTAAAGAGGAGTCAGAGGGTAGCTTCTTCTTAGGGTGTCTTCCTCCACTCTTCAGCGCTGACCGTGTTGCCCAGCACTGGCTACTGAGAAAAGAAAAATACTTCTGAGATCGAGCAAAGCAATTCACCCAGTCTCATAACCTGGTAGACACAGCCAACCTCTTTTGCTCAGATGCTGAGCTAACCAAACGGCCTTCTGCATGGCATTTGGGAACGCTGGGCTGATCCATTCCAGCAAGAGGAAGTAAATGCCCATGATAAATAACCGGTTGCTATTGACCCTGCCAAGGTTCTCCTTCCACTGTGGATTAATACATGCTCATTCTGGTCTCCAAGGCAGCTGTGGGAGAAAGTTATTGTGAGTCAGTTTCCTACACACCGCCGTCAGACGGAACTTTCCATGATAACGTCACTAGGGCAGCTAGTCACATGTGGCTATTGAACGTCTGAAACGAGGCTAGGGAAACTGAAGAAGTGATTGATAATGTTATTTAATTCTGATGCATTTAAATAGCCACAGGGAGCTAGTGGCCGCCAACCTGGGCAGCGCAGCTCGAGACCCCCTGGCTGTGCAAAGCGTGGCCGGTAGACCAACTCGCAGTGTCTCCATCACCCTGCACCGAGCTTGTTAGAAACGCCGGGTCTCAGGCCCTGCCCTGCAGCTGCTGATTCAGAGCCCTCAGGTGACCTGTTTGCACTTGAAAACTTGAAAACTTCCGAACGAGCTGGAAGGAAGAAAAGGATTGACTGAGGACAGTATCCGTGCTGACCTCTCCAAACCGCAGGCACCCACACGTGTGGCTGGGGTCCAGCCTCAGGGATCCTCCTCTTTCTTGGGGTCTGTTGCTCCTCCACCCCTTCGACACGGCGGAGAGGGGGAAGGGAACAAAGAGAGAAGCTGGACACTGCATCTCAAGGAAGTCAGGGGGCTGGGGGAAGGGCGTGTGTTTCACAGATACGTTACACAAGAAAATGATGGAATTTCCATGACAACGATTGACTGGGGATGATGGTTCTACGCGAGTTCGTTGTATTCTTTCCTCTGCTTTTGGGTATGGTTGAAAGTTTTCAGAATTAAACAATAGATGTGATGTCAGAGATGACAGCCAGCCCCAGTGACCCTCCCCTCCTGGTGTTCACTCCTGTGTACTCTCCTTCCGGGGGTGGGGGGCGAGGGGCCATGGATGCGCTGTTCCCCTTATTTGTGAATTCACCGGTGGATTCTTGGGTGTGCCCTGACTGGGATCAAATGTGCGGCCCTGGCGGGTCATGACAATGCTCTCACCAGCGGAGCCACCCAGCCAGGGCCACTTAAGCAGCCCTGCGGAGAGACCGGATGAGAAGGAGCCCGGGCTTCCTGCCAACAGGCAGCCACGCGCCTGAGTCAGGGACCTGAGCCTCCAGGAAGCTCGTTCTCCCGCGCCGGCCAAGCCCTGCGATAACCGCAGCTCCCTCCGACATGTGAGCGCAACTGCCTAAGAGACCCCCAAGCCGGGACTGCCTGCCAAAGCGCTGCTGAATCTCGGACCTGCAGAAACTGTCTGTGAAAGACGATGAATGTGTATCGTCGTATGAAGCCACCGAGTTTTGGGGTGATCTGTTATGCAGCCACAGAGAATGGACACAAGGTCATTCTAATATTTCCCACTCCCTGAGACCACCCCCCCCACCTTATCACAGATGCCTGGAATGAACAGGACAAAGACCTTTTCCTGCTATGTGTAAGGTTTTCATGTGGATACCCCTTGAAGAGATACAACGTTCACTTAAGTTCATGATAAAACATATGACAGATGTAAATTCTTTTTAAAACTCTTAGCAGGCTAATGTGTGGAGACATTAATTTCAGCCTTGCTCTTGCTGTTGTAAGAGACTAGAAAGAATAAAAAGGTGATTTCTTCTTCAGTGTCTACCATCCCAAGAGCTAAAGTTTTAAACACGGTCTAGGGCCTGGGGGTGTCCAACCAGCGACCCACAGGCCACCTGCAGTCCGGGATGGCTATGAATGTAGCACAACACAACATCGTAAATTTACTTAAAATATTATGAGATTTTGTGTGTGTGTGATTACATGTCACATGTATTTAACGTGTGGCCCAAGACAATTCTTCTTCTTCTTCTTCCAGGGTGGCGCAGAGACGCCAAGAGGTTGGACACCCCTAGACACTAGGCTCTTCATGTAAATGGCCCTTGCCCAGTCCCTAGCCCCCAAGAACACTTACTGTGAGCAGCTTCTTGGTGTTTCAAGGGCCGCCCTAAAGAAGACCCCCAGCCCTTCACCTTGAGGATTTGGTAAGAGAGAAGCCACACTGGAATGTCGCTCCAGAAGCAGAGGCCCAAGGGATGAATGATCCCAGGACTGGGGAGGGTTCTGAAGTTTCCAGGAATGGAAACCTGACCCAGGTTTGTACGCAGCCCCTGCGTGCGTGTCAGGAGTGGAGTGGGAATTGCTGAATGGGGTGTCTGAGGAGTGGGATCCTGCACCCGAGACTTCCCTGTACCCCTCCGTACCCCCCACCCCTGCCCATCTATCTGGCTTGCAGGCTGTGGAGCTGCACCCTTCACTGATGCCCCAACGTTGGTGGAATGCAGACATCAAGACTGGAGGAGAGGGGGGCGGGGGAGGCCCTTCCCCAGACCTTTTCCCAAATTTTGGAGACTCCGTAGCCCTAGAGAGAGGGGAAAGGGAACCTAATGAACTTCCCGCCAACATTGCGCTAGATTTCTTTAATTTGTAAAAGTAAAAGACGTGAGACGCTCCTTGCCCAGGAGTCAGCTGCAGCGAATTCAGTTAGAGCTACTTTTCCTGAAAGCCTTTCCGGGCGTCAGAGGGGAGCGAGGGAAGGAAGGGGGTGGAGGAAGTAATAGAGGAGCGAAGGGGCCAGAGTGCCCTTCCTGACAGTTTACGTCACCCGGTAGATTCTGGTCCCCGATAGGTCCCGAGAGCGACTGGCCGGCGCGCGGCCACCCGTCCGGCTCCGACACAAACACACGCACGTGCGCCCCGCCCCCGCGCGCGCACGCGCCCCGAGGCTCCGGCGGCAGCGGCGGGCACGCGCGCGGTGCTCGCTGCCCCCACGCCGCTCCCTGCGCTCGGATCGCGGCGCCTCCCGCTCCCCGCACAGCTCCGCGCCGGACCCGCGGACCCGGAGGCGGCGGCCGTGGTCGGTGGGCTCCCGCGAGCGCAGCGGCGCAGGCGGTGGGGCCCGGGAAGGGGCGCAGCGGAGCCCAGCGAGTCCGCAGGAGGCGATGTTGCTGCGCGCGGGCCCCTGCGTAAGGCGGACGCCGAGACAGGCCAGCCGGTGAGGCGCCGCCTGGGGAGGCCGCGACCGAGCGCCCGGACCCGCCATGGGCTGAGACACGTCCTCGCCGAGCAGGTGCAGTGCCAGCAGTCCCTGGGGAAGCCCGTCCCGACAGGCCCTGAGCCCCTCAACCCCGCTGGGGCGTCCCGACGCGGCCGGCCCCCTGTTGACCTTCCCTCATCGCCTCCCAAAGGCCCTGCAGACCCCGCCTCCAGACCGGCCCAGGCAACCTCTGTGAAACCAACAATGTCTGACATCCCGGGCCTGTCCCCGTCGTGCACTCCGGTGACCCCGGCCCAACAGGCCCTGGGTCCACCTCCTCCTCTGTCCCAGCATTTGAGCCCACTGCCTGCACAGTGCCTGCTGTTGGCGCGTGGGGCGCGCGGCGGCGGGGAGGGGGGGCGGTTTGGGGGGTGGTGAGTAGGAAGGTGAAAGGAAGAGGGAGAGCCGGTCCTTCCCTCTATTGGTCCTGGTTCCCATAAACCCATCTTCTCTATCTCAAGCCTGCAGTAACATGACCCTTCTTTACCCCACCAGAACATGCCTGGGTGACCTTGCTCCCAGATCTTCCTGGTGGCCTTCCTCGCCCTCCCCAGTGACACTATGCAACCCTGGCGCGACCTGCGAGGCCCATGGCTCCCGCTGCTGTCCTGGTTCCTGCTCCTCTGCGAGGTGGCCAGAGCTGGCCGGGCCCTGGTTAGCTGTCCTGCCGCCTGCCTGTGCGCCAGCAACATCCTCAGCTGCTCCAAGCAGCAGCTGCCCCACGTGCCCCACGCCTTGCCCAGCTACACGGCCCTGTTAGATCTCAGCCACAACAACCTGAGCCGCCTGCGGGCCGAGTGGACCCCCACGCGCCTGCCCCACCTGCACTCCCTGCTGCTGAGCCACAACCACCTGAACTTCATCTCCTTGGAGGCCTTTTCCCCGGTGCCCAACCTGAGATACCTGGACCTGTCCTCCAACCAGCTGCGGACACTGGACGAGTCCCTGTTCAGCGAGCTGCAGTTCCTGGAGGTGCTGCTGCTTTACAACAACCACATCATGGCCGTGGACCGCTCGGCCTTCGAGGACGTGGCCCAGCTGCAGAAACTCTACCTGAGCCAGAACCAGATCTCCCGCTTCCCGCTGGAGCTGGTCAGGCTCCCCAAGCTGACGCTCCTGGACCTCTCCTCCAACAAGCTGAAGATGCTGCCACTGTCCGACCTGCAGAAGCTGCCCGCGTGGGTCAAGAATGGGCTGTACCTGCACAACAACCCCCTGCACTGCTCCTGTGAGCTCTACCAGCTCTTCTCACACTGGCAGCACCGGCAGCTGAGCCCCGTCGTGGACTTCCAGGAGGACCTGCACTGCGTGAGCGCCAAGAAGCTGCACAGCATCTTCAGTCTCAACTGCAGCGAGTACAAGGAGCACGCCTCGGTGGCCCACCTGGGCGACGCCGTGACCATCCATTGTGACACCCGGCAGCAGGGCATGACGAAGGTGTGGCTGACACCCAGCAACGAGCGGGTGCTGGACACCGTGGCCAACAGCACGGTGACGGTGTTCGAGAACGGCAGCCTGCACTTCCGGCGCGTGCAGGTGGAGGACGGGGGTGTGTACACCTGCTACGCCTCGGGGGAGGCTTTCAATGAGACCCTGTCGGTGGAGCTGAAGGTGTACAATTTCACCTCGTACGGACACCACGACACCCTCAACACGGCCTACACCACCCTCGTGGGCTGCATCCTCAGCGTGGTCCTGGTCCTCATATACCTGTACCTCACCCCCTGTCGCTGCTGGTGCCGGGGTGTCGAGAAGCCTTCCAGCCACCAAGGAGACAGCCTCAGCTCGTCCATGCTGAGTACCACACCCAACCACGATCCCATGGCCGGTGGGGACAAGGATGATGGTTTTGACCGGCGGGTGGCCTTCCTGGAACCTGCTGGGCCCGGGCAGGGTCAAAATGGCAAGCTCAAGCCAGGCAACACCCTGCCGGTGCCCGAGGCGGCGGGCAAGGGCCAGCGGAGGATGTCGGATCCGGAGTCGGTCAGCTCGGTGTTCTCTGACACGCCCATTGTGGTGTGAGCGGGGCGGGTGGGTGGGGACGTCCTGCCCCAGGAGAGGTGACGCACCCCTGAAGGATTGGAGGGGATGGAGGAGAGGGCTGGCTGCCCCAGGGAGTGGCTTCCCCCGGACCTCAAGAGAACTGGTCCTGGGCACAAAAGAAAGCAAGACCCCAGTGGGGAGTGGCTGCCACGAGTTTCAAACAGGGGCGTGTCACTCCCCAGGCAGATGCTGCACCCCTGCCCCAAACCCCTGTGCTTGTCTGTCAGCGAGCTGGAGGGGGCGGGGGCGAGTCCCAGCTGGGTGGGAATGAGGAAGGGGTGGGGGCGAGTCCCAGCTGGGTGGGAATGAGGAAGGGGTGGAGGCAAGAGCAGAGTCCCTAAACTTTTTCAAGATCATCCCTAGACCCTTAAGAGAAAGTCATTTTGGGGGGAAATCCCTTTTTTTCTATTTCTGCCCCCCCCCCACACACGCACACATACCTGTGATGTTGGGCGGGTTGGGGGAGCTTCCACAGGGGCCTCCTGGCGGGGAGGTCACACTGCACAGTGAGGAAATGGGAGGCCTCTGGGAAAACGAGTCAGGAAGAAAGGCTGAGACCTCCAGCCATAGCCCTGCCCCGGGCTGCTGCGAGACTTCCTGATGCCTCCGTGCTTCCCGAGGCGCCCGGCCCGCCGCCCGTCGGAGAGGGCAGCCGCGTGAGGTGTGGTGTCGGTGCCCTGTCCTGGGGCCGGAGGCGTGGAGGGGCCCGCGGCACAGGTGCGGCATGAACCCCGGGGAGAGGGGTGAACTGTACTCTGGCTCGGTTCCTGGTTGGGGAAACTGGGGTAGGGTTTGGTGCCTGCACCTGGGTGTCAGGCAGGGGTGGGGGCCGCTTCACAGAGCACAAGGAGGGTGCATCGGCCTCGCTTAGGTAGCACCCGGCAGGCCCCACCTGACTCTCTGGGTTCACCGTCTCTTCCTTCGGCCTCCTCGTGAAGTTCGGGTGGGGTCCTGAGCTTTCCCCAACTGCTGCTCCGTGGGGGGTAGTCCTGGAAGGTCTGGCCCCGGCCAGGCTAGACGAGGCTTGGGGACACAGAGGTCGGTGTCTCCTCTGTGCTGGCAAAGCTGCCTTGCTCCTCACGGAGGTCTCACCCCTGCTGCCAAGCCAAAGCACAGGGTGCGGTCACCTGAGGGGTTGGAACTGCGTGGTCTCTGTCCAGCGCCAGTTTGGAGTGTGGCTTCGAGTTCTGTGTCTTACAAGGTTCCAGGCAGTCTTGTAACAGGGACAGCGAGTGGCACCGAACCTTCAGAAGGGCAGCTCTGCCAGCCGCAGCGCTGTTAGCCAGAGGTCTGTGCCGGAGGAACTTCCAAACAGGCTGACGCCCCACCCCACCCAGGGTTACAGAACACTTAGGGCCCAGAGGCGGCCACCTGCTGGAACCTCTCCCTCTGACTGGGGGGTGTAAGCCCTGGGACGGCTGGTCTGAGCCTCATCAAGGGCACGAGCAAGGCAGAGCGGGGGAAGGTTCTCCGATGTGGGTCGTTTTGGCTCTGTTCCCTCTCGCCCACCAGGCTCCCTGTCCAGCGGGAGTTCTCCAGGTATCCTGGTGTTCCGACCTGCTCCTTAGGTCCCAACGGGTGTCGTTTCCCCGCGGGCAGCAAGAGCGGCCGCTAGGAGGGCCTGACTCCCTCCGCAGGGAAGGGGACCAGAGCTTCTTCCCCGCCCGCTTCTGGAGGTCAAGGCTGCTGTCCATCCTTTCTCAGTACCCGGTTTTGTCGAGAGGTGCAGCATTTCCCTCAAGTACCTGCATGCTCATAGGTGTGCACGCTTCTAGGTATGCATGCACTCGGCACCTTGGCCCCCACCAGGACAGTGACTCCTCAGTCCCCACTGAGGTGCATTTCAGAAGGTCTCCACCTGTGTGCACGACGTGATGCACACATTTTCTCGCCCTGTAGGAGACAGTGATCACGCCAGGTGCCCCAAATAAACTCTTGTCCTTTGAATTCATTCTGAGATCTCGGAAGCTTCACCCACGTCTCTACAGCTCACAGGAGTTCTCGGCAAGGCTTGGAGTTAGGAGAACCACATGTTGACGACCTTGGGAGATGGGTGAGGAGGAGCTAGACAGTTCTTCAGACCCTAGGAAGCCTTCCTTGGGTTAGAGACAGTAGACGAGACGTAAACGTGCAGCTAGGTCGAGGAAGGACCCAGAGGAGCTGGCGGGGGACCCGGCAGCTGTCAGCGGCTCTTCCTCTGTGAACTGCCTGGTAGGACAGGGGCAGGAGGGAGAAGTTGGCTGGTTAAGTTCCAGAGGCCAGTGGGTGGGGGGAAACGGGGACTCCCTGCTCCCTTCACAGGGAGCCCAGGGACATCTCGCCTCTGTGCCAGAGTGTCCCCTCGAGGAGCCGTCCAGGGCTCTGCAAGTCGGAGTGTCAAATGGAGCCGGCCGGCTGGGGCGGTCCAGCTGAGGCCTGAGGACGAGGAGGGCCCTTTTCTCCCTCTCGTGCCCAAGCTGGGGAACAGGAAAAGGCCCCGAGGCTGTCAGTCCCTTGCTCTGTCCACTGGCTCGGCCCCTGCGACAGACTGAACAAACCAGCCTCTTCCATGGTTTCAGTGGATGGAACCCAAAGGGCGCTTTCTCCTGGGGCACCAAGCACTCAGCACACAGGGGCTCCCTAGAACCCCGTGTAGGAAACAGCCCGGTGTGGCTCTAAGAACAGGCTGAGCAGTCCCCCCCGCCGCTCCCCCTCCCCACACCCATGAACCAGACATGTCTCCCGGGAAGCAGGTGTCCCTGGAGACAAGATGACAGGGCTCAACAGTCTACGTGATTGTTTGTGACCTTTTCCTTGGCCTGCGTTTATGGGGCTCCTGGGAAGGGGCCAGGAGAAGGTGCACCCCAGCTTGGGGACGACAGAGCCGACAGGCCCGTGTTCCATGTGATCTTACCTCTGTCCTCCCTCGTGGCCCTGCTGGCGGAGCAGGCTGGCTCCCCTGTGCGCGGGGCCCGTCCCTCCCCGTGCAGACCCGGGCTGGCGAATCCTGGAGCCTCTGGGCTCTGAAAACTAGACGACCACCATTAAACCTGGCTTGAGTCTCTTGTTCTGGCACAGTGTGTGGCTGGTTCGTTTCTCTTTTCAGCCTGTGGGCGGGGTTCGCTGCACCCCAGAGGGTGCAGCCTGTGGAGGGAGAGAATCTTTAAGTGCTGCTAGAAAGGCACCCAAACACCCACATCAAGGCATTGAGACAGGCCAGGGGTCAGCAAACTTCTTCTGGACAGAGCGGGACAGTATGTTGGGCTCTGTGGGCCACCGTCTCGGTGACAGCTCCTCAGCTGTGCCCGCTGCAGCAGGAAGTCACCATGGGAGCTCAATGAAGGAGGGTGGCTCCGGTCCAGACTTTATTTATGGACACCGAGATCTGGAGTTCATAAAATTTTAACACGTCTTTTGGGTTGCCTCAACCAGTGGAAGTGTAAAAACTCTCACTAGCTCACAGACCACGCCGAGCCAGGCAGCGGCTGGTGGGGGCCCGCACACCAGAGTTTGGACCCGTCCTCGGAGGAGAGGCCAGCGGCGTCCTAGCAGGAGAGTTTAGCGATTCGGTGATGCAAGGCCGCCTGCGCCCTGGGGAGGAGGCGTGGCTCCCCGCCTCCCCGCCGAGTTCCGTTCAGAGTCTAGAACACGCCTACGAAGGGAACTATGGGAAAATGCCTGGGCTGGGCTCAAAGAAGTGGTGGAGGGCAGCTCGCTTTCACATTTTATTACCCGTATACTTCCACATTGTGAATGGTAACCTTCTTGGCTGTCCAAGTGTGTTCACCCGACCGGCAGGTTAATAACCCCTGGCGGTTAATGCGCGCGCGGCGTGGCACAGAACAGAGAAAGGCTTTCCCCACTCTGCTGGTACAGATGCAGCCCCGCGGAAACTGGACTGGATTCTCCTGACCTCTGAACATGCAAATTCTTTGACTTCTCTCTTGCTGCTTCGGGAAGGGGACTGTCACGGTAGACTCCATAAGGGAAGAGGAAATGGTGTAAGGAAAAAAGAAAAGAAGCTAAATTTGAATAATGATCTAATTTCTACCACTGATAAAGTCTGACCAGAGGGCAGCGCTCCTCTGTGTGGGACGGGGGTGGAGACATTGACCTAGGAGGTCCCTGCAAGGACCGGTGTTGGTGCTAACCGCCCCAGCCCCGCCCCGGACTGCACGTTTAAGTAGTGTAAGTTTTTTTCCTCTCTGCGAAGCCATCTTTGCTGTGGCTGAGTTCCGCCACGAGGATGAAGTTGGCAGCGCACAGGTCTGGGGCAGACGACTGGGGTCCTCCACCCTCTCCTGGCCTGTGCCCAGCCCTGTCTCTGAGCCTGCAAAGTTTTGATTCTGCATTGTCCGTCATCCTAAGGAAGTCCCCGGCTGCATGTCCTCCCTCCTCCCCAGCCACTAGCTTCTGGCCAAGAGGCGCGGCTCTGCCCGCCCTGTCTCGCAGCACTTTCCCTAGCTCCTCCTGGGCGGCACCTCAGGGGAGAGGGCCTCGCCTCCCTTCCTCTCCATCTCTCAAGTCCTTCCCTTGCTGCAGTGGTAGTTCTCCCGGGGCTCACCCGGTCTCCCAGGAAACCACCGGAGAAGCCTCACTGTCCCCGCCCACGCTGCAGAAAGGGCTCCGTCCTGTGCAGCGGGACATTGGGCTTTCTGGCCTGGCTGCGGTGAGCCTGCCGGGCGCTCCCTCTCCTGAGGACTGAGAGCGGCAGGCGGACACAGCCACCACGTCCAGCCCCCTCCATCAGGCTGGTCCACGGCCGGGTGGGAAATATCGGTGATAAGGACACTTAGACCCACCCTGGGGCCCCTGGGTCTATATCCAGTTACCATCCCAGAACCAGAGGACGTGGACCCGTGCCAGAGAGGGCCCAGGGTTGGAGAGCTGGGACGCGGAGCCCTGCAGGGGCAGTTCCAGGTGCGCTGCAGCGCTGGCTTGGGGAAGGTCCGAGTCAGTGAGCCCGGAGTGGGGGGGGGCGGTGGCGGGGTGCATGGCTCCCACTCGTGTGTGGAGGTGCACAGACATGCACACAGGTCAGAGAGTGTGGTCTCTGGACCGCACTTCGTGCTGCTTTTCTCCCACCTGACCCCCACTCCCTCGCTGGCCGGGCCTGGCTTGTGCTGCGGGTATGAGCAGACGGGCCTCGCCCAGCCCTGGGCATCCTTAGGGAGCACCGTGAGACACCCGGGAGTCTGCCTCAGAGGGGCGTCCTGGGGCCCTCACGAGTGCTCAGAGAGAGAGACAAAGGGCTGAATCCTCTGCTCCCAGAGAACAGCCTGAAGTGCCACTTGATCTGCTTTCAACGGCGGTTTAAAAAGTCACCTGGGAAGTTCTGACGACTGCAAATGGATTGAAAACTGCGACTCTCACCCCCAGCACAGTGGTGACTGGCCGAGCCTCCGGGTGGCTGGGCAGGGGAAGGTCATCTTACGGAGGTGAATGTTTGGCCACTGCAGTCCACCCCTGGGGCGGCCCAGGGCCCCCCTGTCCTGCCTGTCAGCTGGGCTGGGGAGAGCGCCGAGGCGACGCCTGCAGCACCACACTGCTGCTCCATTCCTGGGTCCCGGGGCAGAAAAAACTCGGATGAACAAGCGAGCCCGCAGGCCTGTGTGTGGCTGCCATTCCTGCCTCGGTGTCCACTCCAGGCCGGCTGCTGGCTGCTCTCAGACCCCTGGAATGGAAAGTATCCTTCCCCAAACTTAAACTTTAAACAGAACTGCTTTCTGGAGTGAAGTGTGTGTGTGTGTGTGTGTGTGTGTGTGTGTAATTCCAATGAAGTGCTTTGAAGAGGAGGGGACTGTGACCCTTCTGCAGGACTCTGGAACAAGGAAAGGGAAACCTGGGCACAGCTGGGCCGCACCTCGCAGCTGTGTCTCCAGCACCTGGCGAGAGGGCCCGAGGTGGGCAGTGCTCCACCTGGCCTGGGGCGGGAGGGTCGGTGGGAGGCGCTGCTGTGTCCATGACTCTTGCTCCCTGCTCCCACTCTGGCTTGTCTGCTCCACCCCGCCTCCTCAGAAAAGCCAAAGTGGGCAGGAGAGAGACCAGCCAGCCCCAGGAACTCCAGGCTGGACCCAGGAGACAGCCGACTCCCAGGTCTGCCGTCAGCGCCGTGACTGGGCAGGCAGCACTTCGGGCGTGCTTCTGAGAGCCACAGGCCGGGCGGCGTTCCCAGCAGGAGTGGCGGGAGCTGGCCTCGCGTGGAGAAGGAAGACGTGTGTCCGTGTTCTCTGATGGTGGCCAGTGTCACGGCCCCTCCGAGACCTGGGCCCCTGAGTGTCACCACCCGGCACTGCTTCCGGCTGAGCCGGGCGGGGGAGGGGGGCGGGAAGAAGAAGGACCAGCACACAGAAATGCCACCTGTTTGCATGTGTTTAATGCTCTGAGCTTCCCCGAGTAGCGGCGGCTCCCATGCGTCCCCCTCAGCCTCACAACCTCCCTGGGAGGTGGGTCTCCAGGTGAGGGACTAGCTCAGGGCCACATCACGCGGGAGTGAACCCTGACGCCAGGTTTGCCCATTCCCGAGTCGGACTCCCAAAGCCTGCGGGGGCCACCAGAAAGGCTGAGGTCAGGTCAGGGGTCAGGACCAGGAGGGAGTGGCCCCTGGAGGTCAAGTAAACAGAAGGAAGGGCAGGAGGACCAGAGGGTCAGGATCAACGGCCGGCACTGCCCCTAACTGCCAGTGTCAGCGGGGCGCACACTGTGCTTCCAACGCTTCGACCTTTGCCCTTCATCAGGCGAAAACGCCTTGGTTGCTCAAGCGAGGGGCGCTGGGGGCCCACTCCCAGGGTAGGAAGCCTCAAGCCAGGGCTGGGAGGCGAGCCCCCTGACCCCTCCTGCCTCCCACAGTGCCCCGCATTGGGCGACATCCCGCAGCCCCGCAGCCCGGGAGGGGGAAGGTGCGGGCTGGCTGACTCAGCCTGCCAGTGCTCGGAGGTCTGGGGCTGCACGGGCGGCCGGCTCTGCTCAGCTAATGATTATTATTAACTCTGAACAGACCCTGGCACGCCAGCCAGCTGGCTCCGGGAGGATGCCTGGATCGCCCACGGTGAGGTTTAAAAACAAGACCCAGGGCAGCCGTGCACGGACGGGGGGGATGGCAGGGTGGGGACCAAGAGAAAGGGGGGGCAGGCCAGTGTCAGAGAGCCGGGTGGGGTAGTTCGCCCTGCAAGAGGGCGGGGACAGAGGAGGCCCAGGCCGGCAGGATGTTCCAGCCTCGCTCTGATACACTAGGAGCCCAGAGGGTGCGACTGGAAGACTTCTCCAGACTCGGGCGCCTGCCATTCAACGGCCCCCCTACCCCCGCCCCCCTCCACGTGGGGCTCAAGGGAAGTGGAGGTCCTGGAAAAGGTGAGGGCTGGGGGCATCTGAACCCAGAACGGTAATCCTATTACCATCCGGATCTGGATACAAAAACCTTCTCCATTTCTCATGTCCTCAAGGTTGAGTTTGAATATAATCATATTTGGAAGCAGGACTTAGCCTGATATGCAAATTTGTGCAAATAACATGCTTTTTTTTTTAAATTTGAGCACCCTGGCTTTTTAAAAAAAAAGGCAAAACAGGCTGACGACTAGCAGCTTTCCTTAGTCAGGGGACAAGGGCCAAAGGGCAGCCATTTGCTTCTCTCCCGAGGCCTCCGCCTCACCCCTGAGCTGCCCAGACGGGGAGGTGCGGGAGGCGGGGAGACAGCGAGGGGAGGAGGCCCGTGCAGCCGGCAGCCACCACATCCCAGCTGGAGCACGAGGGCCCTGGCAGGGAGGGCTAATGGCCGTCCAGCTGCCGCCCCAGGATGTGAGGGCAGGTGGTGAAGGAGGGAGAAATGCAGAGGGGAGGGGAAGGGAGTCCCCCCACAATCTGGCCTGCAAGGAAGAAGGGCCCCTCCTGTGGACCCGCTCCCTGTACTGCAGTCAGACTGGCTACACAGGCCGCCGGCGCCCTCCTCTGCCCTCCCGGCCTCCTGGTCGGAGACGGGACAGCTGGGCCCCTTCCTCCTGCAGAATACAAATGACTTCCCCCTTTCTCCCAGGGCTGGGAATAGACATCAGCTGGCACAGCCCACGCAAACTGCTGGCTGTCAGCCCGCCTGCCCGCCGCCCACCAGCCCCCCAACCACCTGGGAGGAGGCAATACCTCAGGCGGGAGCCGGCTGCCCCGCCCTCTCCCCGCCCTCTCCCGGCTGCAGACTGCAGACGGGGTAAGGCTCCCCGCACCCGCTGTGCCTGGGGGAGAGGACATGGGGTCCCTGATCAAAGTGCCTGCCCAGATGAGACTGCTCCATCAGCCCTGGTAACCCTCTCCCCCAAGTTCAGACCACACTGGTAGTTTGGGGGGGACAGGGTTGGGGGGGAGGACAATAAAAGAGCTAATCACCACCTGCACAGCAGGGCCCCCTCCCTACGCTCAGGGTCAAAAGAGCTCCTGGGAGATGCCACCTGATCCAGGAGGAGCCCAGTGAGTGCACCCAGGGGGCACCTCTGTCCTTGTAGGGTCCCCTGCCTGCACTGTGGAACCCTACTAACATCTTGCCTCTGAGCCACCCAGAGAGGATGTCTGGAATGTTCCAAGGACCTGGACATCCAAAATGCTTAGGAACTCCTCCCGCTGGTCCTGGGAGCCAGAGCCCCAGCCTCCAGAGGCCCGTGAGCTGCCTGGTATCACCTGCCTTGATACCAGTTCTCCTGGTTCGGCCACCTTCAGCCCTCCAGACCCTCGGAGGTCCTGTCTCCCCAGCTGAGCCGGAGCAGTGAACCTGCCTGGCATCCGGCCCTCGCCGCAGAGGGCTGTCTGGGGAGCTGCTTCGGTTTGGAATGAGGGGAGGTCTCTGCAGGAGAGGGCCCAGCCCCCGGTAGCCAGCTGGCACCAAACTCAGCCCCCCTGCTGGGCCAAAGAGTGGCAACCCAAGAGGAAAGCTTAGGTGACAAGAGAGGGATGGAGATCTTCCCCAGGTCAGAAGAGCCCTGCCCGCCAACTGGGCTCGTCTCCCATTCTAACAGCTCCAGGACAGCTCCACGAAGCTGTGTGTGTGCTCAGGCAAGAGCCGGAGCCCAGGAAGGCAAAACGTGTGCTGCCCAGGACTGTCGTGCCACTCAGCGTGGGTGTTGGCAGAGCTGAGCTGGGCTGAGAAGGATCTCAGCCAGGCCAGGCAGCCCAGCCGGGAGCCAAAGCCCCGGGTGAGCCAGCACCCTTCTGCTCACCCAAAGCTTTAAAGTGATTTCAGTGCCTTTACTGCCTGAGAGTTCAGGGAACCTCACCCGGGGCCCTCCCTTACTGTTCTCCTCAGTGCGGGGCCCCTTATGCCCCGGTCTGGGGCCAGACCAACACAGGCTCCTGGCAGGCCGGAGTGGGAAGGGGCCAGGAAAGTAAGGATTACTCCCGAGCCTTCTGAGCCGCCCAGCCCATGGTCAGGAGCTGGAGGGGTGTCCTGTGACGTCAGCCGACACGCCAAATGTTGGCGCTCATTGGGAAACACCCATCACACAGATGAAGAAACTGAGGTCCTGAGACACGTCGTGACCTGCCTGAGGTCGCACGATAGAGCCTACGAGGCCCAAAACCCGTAACCAAGACCCAGGGGCTCAGTCTGCTACCCCATGCTGCTTTCTTAAAAGTCACCCAAAGTGCCACCGCTGCCATTCATAAGTGACAGGAACCCACTCTCCATCAGGCAAGCAAACGAGAAACAACCACACCACCACCGTCGCCACCAGCACCCAACCCTTCTGGGCCCCATCGGCGTGGAGGCTTCGGGATCAAGCGCCCCACCTGCACTCAGTCCACTTCCCTGCTTCGGGCCCCTGAGTCCTCCGACGGCCGTGCGCTTCCGCACCCCCTCGGCCCGGCGAAGCACAGAGATCCTACCCCTTCGGAAGTGGAGCCCTTGAAGGTCACCAAAGGAACCACTGACGTCCAAGGCAAGTGCACCACCTAGACTCAGAGTTCGGAGGGACTCACATCTCCATTTTCTTCCTTGGCAGGTAGGAGCTGGAGATCTGGTGCATGATCACCAGCGCTGGGTAGACGGGCAGGGCCAGGCACAGGTACCAGGACCCACCTTTGATCTGGGCCTGGAACCACACCGAGTACATGGCCAGGAGCACCGTCACCGTAGCCATCAGGTAAACCACCAGTCCACAGGTCAGATGGTAGAGCTTGAGGCGAGCCACCCTTGAGACCCCGGCCGCCCGGGGAAAGAGGAGGCAGAGCCCGTACAGTGCCTGGCCCCCCGTGGCCAGCAGCGTCAGAACCCCTACCCAGCTGTGCCAGGACACCAGGTGGGGCAGCTCACTGCGGGTCTTGCTGGCGATGATGAAGCCCAGGCCCAGGGCGGCACAGAGGATGGCTAGGGTCTGCCCCACCCAGTGGAGTCCGATCCGGGCCTTTCGGGAGCAGAAGAAGAACAGGGAGTGCTCGGGCGAGAAGAGCAGGATGGCCTCGGCCATGCACAAGCAGAACTGTGAACACAGGAGAGGGCCAGTGAGCCTGGGGCCCGCCCTGGAGGCCTGAGGAGGGGGTGCCCTCAGACATCCTCACAACACGGAGGACAAAGGGGGGGGCTGAGAACCCTCACCAGGACCTCCTGCCTCACGGGTCCATGTTGCTGGGCACAGATGGGAATCCACACTTGAGGGAAAGTCTCTGTCACTCCAGCTGACAGCCAAGTCTGTGTGCCCCTCCCCCCAGCCCAGATGAGGACTCCCATTTCTTGGCCAATGGCATCAGCAAATGTTGAAAGCTTGCTCCTGAACTTTGGGGGAGGAGCAACTGAACACCAACCCTTCCACTTCCTCCATTCAGGTCCTAGTGGAGAAATACGGACCATGCCCTCCCACCCCCGTCAACTACCTGACACTGTCCAGCCCTCTGTGTTTCTCAATCTCCAAGGTTGTTGGGAAAGTTGGAGCCCTGCCTACCTCCCCCACTTCTATGAGCCTTAGCAAGGCTGAGCCCTCCGAAGCCTGGATGCTTCCCTGGGGACATAGCCGAACAAATCAGCTGCATAAAGAAGCCCAAACTCACCGCCAAGGCCATGAATACAGGGTGCCAGGAGAAAAGACCTAAGGATCAAAGAGAACAGACTGACGGCCTGGGCGCCATTGTTTCTGCCCCTGAGGCTGGCTAGAGCTCAAAGAATCTAGGGGCAGGGGACAGGTCAGTGCCCTATCCCCGGCCCTAATCAGGATCTCAGGGCAAAGGGGAGCAGCCAAGGGGCTCCACGGTAAGCGACCATGAGGACAAACCCACAGCAGCTCGGCCTGGGTTCGCCACTGGGCACCGTGCAGCTGTTAGCCCAGTCCCAGGCTGGACCTCGGCCTCCCTCCTTGTATCCTCCATCCTCCACGAGGGGCTCTGCTCGGAGTGAACTAGTGACTTCAGTTTGGTCGTCGGCTTCGCCTCCTCAGCACCCAGAGCCCCGCCCCACCACACCCTTAACTACCATTCAACGGTCCGTCACTCCCCCACCAGGGCCCCCACTCCAAGTCTCCCGGTGCTCCCCGGCGCTGCCCCTCCAGCACCTCGGCTCCGCCCCCTTCCCTGGCCCCGCCCTGCCTTGCACACTCACTGGTTCCCGGCCGGGACAGCAAAGTCAGAAAGATGGTGAAGCCCAAAGCTACCAGGTGCGCCAAGATAACACTGCCTCTCCGCAGCCAGCGGGTCAGTCTGGGCTCCCTCGCTGGAGCGGGAACCAGACCCACCTCCAGGGTCTGCATGGCCTGACCGGGCCGGCGAACACGCCCGGCTGCCAGAGCGCGTCTTCCGGGTTTGCGATCGCCCGGGAGCCGCGGCGGCGGGACAGGCTCCGCCCCCGGGCGCCCGGTGGTGTGGCGGCTGTGCCCACAGCGCCCTCTGGGGGTTGGGGGGGGGCGGGTTGCCCGGGAGAGCCCCGAAGACGTGGGGCACTGGACAGCTCCTGGCCCATTGTGTTTCCTAAGCCAACCTCATAGTATCTTTTCTACAAGGGTTTGTGTGTCATGCAGCCTGTAGAAATCACATTTATGGCAACTGATTTCACCCAAACCCCAAGTCACAAACTTGCTACACTGAACCAAGGCTGTGGAACCCATGTTTTCAGCAGTTTTCCAGGACACTGGATTTCCCTGGCTGCCCATTCTCTCCTACCATCCCTTTACAAGGGAAGAAGACTCCTCCTCCTTGACTTAAAGCAAGGAAATGAAAAGGAAAGACAAGGGAAAAAACAGTGCTGCGACTAAGTGAATCAGGTTTGAAGACCAACAGCCTGATGCTCTGTCTGCACAGTTGTCCCCAGTGCGATAAACGGAAGAACGAGGGCACTCCCAGCCCCTGCTGCCTCCACACCATCTGCTCAGCCCTGGGGAGCCAGGCGATTGATCCTAAGGGAGCAGAGCCTCCACACCCAGGGAGCTCTGAAAGGGATCAGACTCTTTGTGACTCCAAAAAAGTGTGGTTCAGCTCAAGGAGGCCTAGCAAGGACAGGCTATACCCCTTCCTTCACGGCAAACCCTCAGGCTAGGGAAGGGACAGACCAAAACAGGCAGGGACATTCTGAGAATAGTTACAAACTCAATTCAATTCCCTGTGGTGGTGGAGAAGCGGCAGGAGCAGCTGAAGAAACGAAGCAACAATTCAGAGCTGTGATGGGGGCCCGGGGTTGCCGAGAGACCATAAAAGGGCCACAGGCTGACTCCCACAGACCCTCTGGGCAACTATCCAAGAACAAAACCAGGGGCGAGGCTCCCTCCCGGTGAAGCTCCCTTCCCACGGGGACTGGAGTCTGCTCTGGAGTCGCGATTCTGGGGAAGCACCGCTCACCGACAGCCATGCCTCATCACCCTGTCTGGAAAGACCACTCTCCAGTTATGCAAATACCAGCCATTTCCACAGTGTTTCAAGGGACAAAGAAAGGGACCTGGAGTCAGGCTGTCTATCATCTCCGTCTCCTGGGGTGCGGTTGGGGACAGTAAGGACACTCATTTTGTTACATGTTTTTTCTTCCTTCCTTTCCTATGTTTCTGTTTTTATATTTCCTTAGCAGCAACAGAACAGGGAGACAGTCTTGAGGTATTTTAAAGATTTTTTTCTTAAAAAAAATAATATAAAGTTATAAAAAGCGGCAGCAGCCTGGGGCCTGGATCTGGAGGGGAGGAGGTGCTGGCGGCTCCATCGAAGTGGGCAGGCACTTTCTCGTTAATGGGCTTTTGACTGCAGGAAGACAAGAGGCGAGAGACAGGGTCAGGCTGGGGGGCCAGTCCGCCTCCCTAGTGACCTGTGTGGACCCCAAGAGCTGAGGCTTGATTTCATCCTGCCGGCCTGGTGAGCAAAGCTGGGCAAGGGGGCAGATGAAAGCCGGCCCCGCAGGGGTGGCCTGGTGAGCACTCACGCACGTGTGTGCACACTCACGCTCAGGCCCCGGGCAGCAGTCACACCCGCTGCTCTCCTATGGGTGCCAGAGGTGCAGGTAGGTGTTTGGCCCAGGCCTAACCCAGGGGCGCATCCCCCCTGCCCGCCCCCAGTAACAGCCTCAGGGCTGAGACCTCACGGACAGCACCTAGCCTACTGTTCCAGGCTGACATCAACAGAGGCCCCCAAATCTGGCTGCTGGCCTCGCCAGAAACCCTGGAGAACTTGCCTGGCACCCACACACCTGGAAGTGGGGACCTGTGCAAGGTGGGCACGCACACATTTCTGCGCCTTGAGGTGGGTCCCTGCCCTTCCATGCCCCGATGCCCAGGGGCAAAGCCAATGAGCAAGACCGGCCCCCCCGCCCTGCTGCACAGCATGCCAGGCCACAGCTCAGGGACCCTCGCTCAACCCCACGGCCCAAACCTTTCTTCTCAGAGTTCATGAAGTCCAACTTCCTTTCCTTCAGGGGACAGAGGTAGCTCCAGTTCCTGGAGTGAGGGCCACAGCCAATTCAGAAAGTGGCCCTTTGATTAAAGCAAAGGCGGGGGAGGGGCAGCAGAGGCAGTATCTCCCCCCCACCAAGGGGGAGGGCTGGAGAGAGCAGAAGGCCCGACAAGCAAAAGCCCGTGTCACCTTGCGAGAGCTGAACCCCTCTCCCTAAAGATGGCCCAGGAACTCTCTCAGCCTCCCCTTCCTCCCCTCTCTGAACAAACGCTGACTCAGCACCCTGCCTGTGTCGGGTTCCCAGAGGACACCCCACCCTCGGCCATCCTGACCCTCGCCTGCCCGCGCTCTCTGGGGAGCTGGGCGGGTACCTTCAGTGCAGAACACTTCTCCTCAAAGGCCAGGGCCGGACCCGGCTTCTTGCGGCGCACGGGGCAGGCCCCGTCGGCTGGGGCGCCGGCCGGGCAGTGCTTGGCCTTCACTGGCCGGCAGTACGTGGCCAGGTTTTTCCGCTTCTTGGCTACCTCCTCCTCCGAGAGGCAGTTGGTCGGCAGGGCCTTGGCTGGGTGTCCAGCCGCTCCCCGGCTGTCCAGCTGAGCAGCCTTGACCGCTGTGGGAGGCTGATGAGGGGAGCCCCGGCAGTCCGGGGGCCCTGCCCGCTTCACTCGGGGCCCCACCGTCCCGTTGAGCCCCATGCCCAGGGCCGTTTTCGTCTTGGCAGAGAGGCCCCGGCAGCCAGAGGGCTTGCCTTTTGCCGTGGGCTCCAGGATGCAGGTCCGTTTGAAACCGGTGGGGCCGGGGGATAGCTTCCGCTTGCGGGAGGGGGCCTCCACCTCGGCCCCAGCCTTGCCTTTGGCCGACTTGCTGGCCTTCGAAGGCGGGAGCTTGCTGAAGGACGGGGAGGGCGTGTTGGCGGGCAGAGGAGAGGTGATGGCCTGGCTCCCGCCCGTACACTCCGCCTGGCTGCAGGCGGCCGCCACACTGGGGGAGCCCGCGGGGTAGCTGGGGACAAGGCTGTCCTTGGTGGGGGGCACAGAGGCTGGGCAGGCAGGTCTGGGGGGTGGGCCTGGAAGGCGGGGGCAGCTGCCGGTAGAAGGAGGGCTCAGGGGAGCAGAGAGCGGGGAGCTGGCAAGGTGGGACGGAGGCTCAGCGGCCGGTGGGATCTTCCTGCAGCAAAAAGAGGGCGTCACTGTTATGTCAAACAAACAAGAGAGCCTCTCCACCAACGCGCACACCAGTGACTCTGCCCCACCTAGAAACGGCCCAGAGCCCCGGCAGTGCTGCCATCTGCTGGTAGACACTGGAAGTGAGCGTTAGGAGAAGGTACAGGGAGAGATTGCTAGCAGGAATGAATTAGCATAGAGACCCATTTAATAACCTCCTTTTACATGTTTGGACTTCCCCTACTGCTAGTCACCCAAAAGGTACTGGAGGTGATGGATAAGAGCGGGGAGTCGCTCCCAGACCACCATTCCTGTCCGCCCTTAGCCCGGCACTGGGCTGCCAGGTTTCCCCACCTCCTCTTCCTTCTGGCCGGGGTCTTGCTGGCAAGCAGCCAAGCCACATCTATGGGTATGTGTGAAGCACTAGGGCTTCTGAGGCCCGAGTATGCCTGGGGCCTGGGGAGGGAAGCCCTGCGCCCGAGAGACTCACTTCCACATGTGGGAGCTGAGGTGCCTCTCCAGCATGGAGCTCAGCGCCGAGCAGAACCGGTCCAGCCGGCGGCTGAACACGTAGCACCCTGGACTCACCAGCCGGCTCCCGAAGGTGCAGAACTGGAGACAGAAGGGAGGTACATGGTCGGCGGGCCTGAGATACAGGGAGGGCACCCACACGCAGGATCTGACCCCGCCACGTGGCGGGGAGGGAGGGCTGGGCCGCTCCCCCACCCTGGGTCCCCACCTCCCCAGGTCCTTACCGCCTGTGGCCTGGGGGGCCGGGACGCATAATGGCAGTCAGGGGGGAGGTGGAGGTCATCAGATGTCCCCTCCTCCTCACTCTCCTCGCTGGAGGCCTGGGCCCCACCCCGGGGCAGGGGGAAGGGGAACAGGCCTGGGTCCCCATCACCACCACAGGGGCCTGCATCATCCAACTCACTCTCAGAGGAGGCCCGGGACCTGGAAGGGCCAAAGGGGATGTGAGGGCGGTGTGACGGGGAGTGGGCCAGGGTGGGGCTGTCCCTGCACCGCCAGGCTCAAAAAGCCAGCAGACGCCCTGCCGGGCCAGCAGACAAAGAGGAAGGGAGGACAGGAAGGGAGGGAACAGCCGAGGGAGCTCACGGTGTAAGAACCAGAAAGATCCGGGGCCACAGCTCCCCGGGAAGCCGCTCTGCAGCCCCTCCACTGCCCAGGCCCTGCCCCCCAGGGAGGCAGTTTACTCCACATTCGCCTCCTCCAGGAAGTCTTCTGAATTTAATCGCACCAACCCTGGTCCGCCCGGTCACGCCTCTCAACCCCCTCTGGCATCAAACATCCCCATGAGCCTGCCCGGCAGCCGAGCCCATGCCTCAGGTCTGCCCCTGGAGTGACCGGCAGAGATGCGTGTGAGTCTCCTCCGGCGAGGCGGGCTCTCCCCGGGGACCGGTGCAGCCTCTGCACCCGAAGCGGCCAGTGAATCAATACACAGTAGGACGCCTCGCCCAGGACCCCGAGCCTTTGGGCTCCCTGACCCTTTCGGCTCCCCAGTTCCGAGGTTCGGCCTGTCGGGAGCAGCTGGGAAAACGCCTTCACCATGGGTGTTGGGACTGGCACGCTACAGAGGCCGGGGCACCGTGGCGTGCTCGGTTAGAAGCAGGGAGTCACCTACTTCCGCCCCCACTGGGGCCCCAGGTCTCCCCTGCCTCTCTGGGTAGAGTGAACAGCATCTCGCAGTGCACTTCCTGGGCCTGTCTCCAGGGGTCCCTGATGACAGGGGGCCAAGTGCCCCCGAGCGAGACGGGGCTGGACCCTGGACGTACCTGGGCAGTGCACAGTACGAGTAGGTCTGCTTGGCACGAGCAGAGAAGGTGCTGCTGGGAGTGGATGCCGCCGCCACCGCCGCTGCCGCCCCAGGGGCTGAGGAGAGGGGCTCCTGGGTGGGGCGCTCGAGGGCTGGCTCCTTGCGCCCTGGGCTCTTCTCCTTGGGGGACTCCCCTTTACGGGAGTTGGCCTTCAGCTCTGCCACGAGCACGTCGAAGTCCTTAGCCCGGCCCTGGACCTCCCGGCGCTGGTGCACCGAGTGGATCTAGAACACAGCAGGATGGAGGGGTGGGGAAGGGGTGTGAGCTGAGCAGGGGTGAGGGGCAGCGGTGTGCTCTGGCCTGGGCAAGCGGAGAGAGAGGGGGTGTGAGTGTGTTTGCGGGTGTGTCTGCGTGTCTTCGTTTCACTCCCCCGCAGGCCAGAACCCTCCTCTGGGACGCCGGGATGCCCTGCCTGCTACCCCCACCCCGGGGCCCACCGTGGGCAGCCTCCCCTCCCCTGGTCCGGGCTTCACCCCACCCCTGGAGCTGGATGGTGGAGACCATCTCAGTTCCTCTCCCGGCCCAGGGCCCATGTCCCACGTCCGTGCTGTCCTCCCTCGCTGTGCGGTGGGGGAGGGGTTACCTTGCACGTCAGAAGGCGGGTGCAGATCTTCTTGGTCTCTGGGTTTATCACCCCACACTGCCTGTTGAGGTCGCACTCCTTCCCTATCGGGAAAGTGGTCCCCGTGAGCCCCCAGGCCATTTCCAGGGAAGGCAAGCTGGGCCTGAGGTGAAGGGCCGCCCCCTACTCTGCCCCCCCCCCCCCAGTCTGAGGCTGCAGGCTCCCCCTTCCAGAGAAACGTCTCTGGGCGTCAGCCGCTCTTTGCTGGGCACAAGAACCATCCCTGTCCCCATTCCCAGCCTAGGCCCTCCTTCTGGGGGCTCCAAGCCCAAAACAGGGCAACACGTATCAAAGCACAGACGCAGCCCCAGGCATCCAGGAGGCCAGGGAAACCAGCTGGGGGAAGGGCTCGTGCCCTGGGCATCGGTGAGAGAAGATGCAGGTCACCGGCCCAGGTGAGGAGGGCCGATTTCACCTGCTCGGGCACAGGCTCCCTCAGCCTTGATCAGGAGACCTAGGCTGGAGTCCCCAGAGAGCAGGCAGGCCAAAAGTGTCCACGTCAAGGGGTGGCCTGGGGCTCCTGTACCCTGGCAAGCAGTGACAGCCAGGCCCCCTCCTTCCTGCCCTCCTCTGCATCAGGTGCAGGGACAGAGCGAAGAGTCCCCACTCTACCTTCCTGACCCCCAAGACCACAGCTACTCACGAGCCATCTTCCGGTGGGTTTTGGGGGGCAGCCTGGCCCCACCAGGCTCCTTCTCAGGAGGGCTGCCTTCGGCCCAGTGACTGGGGCCCTCGCTGGGGGTTATCTTGATGTTCTCTCTGCCAGGAGGTTCTTTAGAAGGGGGCGCCATGGGGGGTTTTCCAGGGGCGTCCTTGGCGAGGCTGCCTGGCTGGCTGAGGAAAGCAGAGGGCGGGGCCACCCTGACTCCGTGTCCATCGGGCTTCGGGAGATTGGACATCTTCTCCAGATTCACCACAGGCACGAAAAGGCTACACATGGAGAGAGGGCGTGGACTGGGGGCAGGGAGGCGGGGCCTGGGGCCTGGGCTGTAGCCCAGGGCCATCTCCTTCCCAGCCCTGGAGCTTGGGTGGGCTCCAGCAGGAGTGCAGAACGTGGGGGACGGGGACCCCGTACTCCCTGGGGTGCACGGAAGGGGGCTGCAGAGGGAGCTGGCCGCCTCCTGCTGTGGGCAGCGCCCATCGCCCCTTGGCTGCCTCCGCCTGTCAACCCCTCCCTGGGCTGGGGTCAGGGCCGCTCTCGGGAGTCTCCAGCCTCTCCTTACCAGAGGTTGTCCTTCTGGGTCTTCTCAGGAGGTTGGTGGCCACGGCTCCGGGACCCCTGGCCCTTCTCCCTGGAGGAGGTTTTGGTGGAACCTGGGGCCCTACAAGCTGGGCCCTGCCCATTCACTACATGGCATTTCTGAGAGCTGGCAGGGGCTGGAGGTGGGGGTGGGGCCCGGGCGTAAAGCTTGCTGAGGGGCCCGTGTCTTCTTTCTGTCACCAGGAGGCGGAGAGAGTAATCCAGGTGAGTGACCAACTGCCTCCTTCCCAACCTGCTAACCCTGTGCGCAGACTCACCACAGAGAATCTGGTGGAGATTTCAAATGTGCCTCCTTCCCCTCGGAATCTGAGCTTTCAAGACTCAGAATTCTAGGACCCAGCTTCCTGAACCTCTTAGCTCCTCCACTCCACCAGAACTGCTGGAAGTTTGCTCACACGGTCACCCCAACCTGCCACAATTCTCCGAAACCACCACCCACCCCCAGGACTTTCCTATCCCCAAGGCCTTCCTTCATCACACACTTGACCTCCCAGACGGCCAAATTCCGAGCTCCGCTGCCCCCTGCCCCCTCCGTCTCCTCCTTAGGGCTCCCCTCACCGCAGTGCTTCTGGAAAGCTTGAGGCTTCACCACTTGGCTGCAGTGGTTACATACAACCAAGTAGAAGTCGTCATGGGCAGGGCAGTGCCCGAAGATGGACATGTCTGCAATGAAGAAGCCCTGATCACTGGGGCTGGGCACCCCAGGGTCCCCCTGGGAGATCGGCCAGCACTCCCACCCCGCCACTGAGGGGACGCTTCCCTTCCCTGCTGACGTGACAGGCTTTATGCTGGAGGCGCCCAACTTCCAGAGTTCAACCTGACCAGTCCCTGAAAGCTCGGGCTTTCAGATGAGTGGGCATCAACTCCCTGCGATTAGGGTCTTCTACAACAGGTCACAGCAGCCAGGTGAATGGATGGATTCAGACCTGTCCAGTCAAACGGCCACCTCCTGGGATGTGGTGGCAGAGTGGAAGGGGTCCTGACTGCCCTGGCCCCAGCCCTGGTGGGTACCGACGCTCACCTTCTTTAATGAGGGTCATGGCATCCAGCTTCTTCGTGCTTTTGTTAGTCTCCTCCAGCTCGGCCCCTGGAGGAGAGAGACGGCTCAGGAGGGGCACCCCCTGCCCAGAAGGCCTGTCTCCCACTCACCAGCGCCTGCAGCCCGCAGCCAGGCAGTAGGAAGCCCACACTCCCTGAGCTCCTGATGCTCAGGACCACTCGGAGAGTATTCAGTGGATCCTTCTCCAGGGCCCTTCTTCCTCCATCTGTTGCCTCTGGAAGGAGCTAGTCCCATTGGGAGGGATCCAGTCACCTTTCTTACAGACTCCTGATGCCAAGGTGAGGTTCAGGGTTCCACTGCCGGCTAGCTGAGTGATGGCAGGTAAACAGCTTTTTGGGCCTGCTTCCTCAGTTAAATGGGAAACAGTGCTTAACATATTTTACTAGAGATCCCAGAGTCCCTTCTTGAGATTCCTCACATGGGTCCTTTCTGCTACTCAGCGGCATCCCAGACGGAAACTCTCCCAGGTCCGTATCCCCATGAACTCTATTTTGCTCCACCTGGGTTACCGCGGCATTGTCAAAGTTATACCCAGCTTCTCGGGTCCTACGTTGGTATGACAGCCACAGAGCAGAGAAACTGAGGGGTTGGGGCCCTCTGGCATCTTCAAAGTCCCCTTGGTCAGTGATACAAGCCCCTGCGCTCTTTAGGGGGTTTTGGGCAAGGGTTGCCCTGGTTCCTCTCAGTGTCTCGATGGATGACCAAAACACCACAGCTGTGCAAAACAGCTCCTTTCCCATCCCCCTACCTTACTCCCCTCCCCTCCCTCCTCTATGCCCCCTCCCTGTCCCTTGGAAAAAAAATCAATTCTGAGTCACCAAACCCGTCTGATTCTGATTCCATTTCCGGTTCTCAATGCACCCAGACCCTGACAATGGCCCCATCCTTGCCCACCCAGCATGGGGTGGCCTGGGCTACCACTTAGATCTGCTTCAGCTGCCCACTAACAGATTTGCCCCTTTCTGGGCTGAGAAGACTGCTGACAGTCTTATATAATCTCCAGACGGAAGGAGTGGTGGGTTAGGCATGCAAGAGACAAGGGGCAGCTCCCATCTCAGGTCAGTTAAAACGCAGTGATGGACAGAACCGAGCTGGGAGTCGGATGTCTCAGAGGAGAACAAGTGTCATCAAGAGACTGCAGGGAGCCGTCCTCCTCCTCCACCTCTTCTTACTTGCAAACTTCTTCAGGGGCGTGATGCTTGCTGTCACCCCAAAGGCCACGACGAGGCCAGGTGCCCCCTGGGGCCCAGGAGACAAAGATCAGGAGAAGGGGGCTGTCAGCCTGATCACCAAAGGCACTCGCGGGCCTGGAGAAGGTGGGGTTCAGGGGAGAGAGCCAAGAGGCAGGGCAAGAGGCCCGGGAAAGGACGGTGGGTTGGAGGTATGGATGATGGACAGAAGGAGGCAGAAAGGGAGGATGGATGGAGGGACAGACCGACGAACTAACGCGGAGGAGGCTGGGGTCCAGCAGCACCGCAGCCAGCAGGCAAAAGCCGAAAAGGAGCAGAAGGTGTGGGGCAGAAGGCGAAGGAACAAGGGGGGCTGGGAGGAGGGCACAGAAGTGGGGTGCGTGGGAAACACGTGGAGAGGACTGTGGCGGATGGGGAAAGCCCGAGGCAGGTTTAGGAGGGGCGGAAGCTGGAAGACAGCAAGCAAAGAGGAAGATAAAAGCAAGTACATGTGGGGACAGGTATTGGGCACCGGCAGAGGCAGAGGTGGGTAGGGTGGGCTGCGGGCGGTGAGCCGGCGCTAGGACCCGGAGGCGCGAAGGAGGGGAGCGGGCGGGCACTAGGACCCGGCGGGTCCTTTGTTTGGGGGGCCGGGGAGCCGGACGGCGGCTCCTGTCGGCAGCTCCCCTCTGCTGGAGGGGACCCGGAGTGGGGGAGGGGAGACAGTGATGGGGTCCCCGGACTCTAGGGGAGCTTCACTCACCATCGGCCGCGGGCAGGTCGGCCCGTTCCACCCACGAGCTCCAGCTCTGTCCCGCGAAGTCATCGAGACTCGGCAGCCGCCGCTCCAGAGCGGCCATTGCTGCCGCCGCGCGTTCACGCACCGCCATCACCGCCGCGGACGCGCGCCCGCCCCGGCGCCGCCGCCGCGCGGCCCCCTCCCCCAGCCCCGCCGCGGGCACGCCTCGCCTCTCCCTCCCACCTTTCCAGCTCACTCTTTGCACAAGCGCAGCACAGGTCGCTTGTCCCTCACCCTCCCTCCCTCATAGCCTTCTGGGAAATGTAGTCTTGGAGGAGGTGCTGTTGCCTACCGATCTTACAGCGAGAGCCCCTCCGAAATGCACAATTACGGGGGGAAAAAGAGACCAAAGCCCCAGAACTCCCTTTCCTAACCCTTGTGTACAACACATTCTTTCTGCTCCCAGCCCACTCTCTCAAGTTCGCCGCGAAAACGCCCCAGCCCCTCTGAGTCGTGCCTCCGCCAACCGGCTGGCGCCCCTTGCAGGGCTGGCGGCTACGAAGCGACTTTGCTCCCCCGGAGATGGAATAGGGTAGGTGCGAGGAGGTGGGCGCGGTGAATCAGAAGGGCAAGGGGAGGGAGTCTGTAGGATCTATTGAAGGACATAGGGGTTGGAATGGGGGAGGGTCCTCGGCTCCCGTGTTGTGCCTCCTCTGCGGGAACCCCACGCTGCCCTGATGAAGAGCAGAGGGTTGGAGTGGCGTTGTCCGTGTTTGGGAGGACCTAGCTGAGCTGAGCGAGATCACCTGTCAGGATGACACAAGGCTATCTGCGAGCCAGGGCCAGCCCCGGAACTGGGTTTGCAGCATCTCTGCTGATCGTCTCTCTCCTCCTGAGCACTGCGATCGATCCCCTGTTCTGCCTCTTCCCAAACCCCGGCTGGACCCAGACTCCATCCATCACTTTGGCTTCTTTTCCTAATGAATATTTTCTCTGCTCGAAGGGGGTGCTTCGGCACGGGGAGATTTCTCATCAGATCTGTCATTTTCCTTGCTAAGGCCTGGAAAACACCTTAATCATCCACCTCTTTCCTCTTCTCAGCTGATAACATTTCTTCCCACCCTCACACGATCGAGAGACAAAAGCCCACTCCTCCCCATCACATCAGAAGAGAGATACTAGTCCTCTTTTCCCTCCTTAACCCCTCACATGTCACCTCATACTCATTCCTGCACCCGAGGAGGAACCCAGTTGGAGGCAAACCGATCCAAGTCTGTGCCTACAAAACCTCGGATTTCTTCTCCCTTTCCCCTTGAGGATGATCTCTGAGGGCAGGGATTCTTGACCTGAGAACCTAGGGGGTCCAGGGACCTGGTGACATTGAATGTCGTGTTGTGCCCAGGCGTGTTTTTCTAGGGACTGTAAACGTACCACGTGACGGTCAGAAGGGGGGAGAGAGGTGCACGTTTGTTCAGCAAGAACCTTTACAGAGACTCGGGCGAGCACATGGCCCCCTCGGGTCCGACAGGAAGCCTGTCCGGGTCACAGATGGCAGGAGGACAAATGTAAACAGCTTTGTGGGAGCCACTCTCTCTCTCGCCTTTTGAGTTTGCTCTAGATTTGCTAGTGAGTCTCCCTTACTTTAGACTAATTGATGTCACCAAAAGAGATGTCACCAGACTAGGGCCAGCCGGGAACAACTGCTCAGTCTTCGGACTTCGCTGCTTGGGGTGCAGAGTCGAGAGGAGTCGAATGATCTTTCGGTGGAAATGCAGATGTTCATCCAGGAACTTAAACGAGGGGAGGAAGAGGAAAAAAAACCCCAGAGGGGCTCCAGTCTTGGCTCCCTCATGGCGAATGCTGGAAGCACTGTTTATTCCAACGTGTGGTAACAAGCACCAGAAACAACATGCAGCATTCTCCCCGCACCCCTGATCTGCGGCCCCGGAGGGAGGAGACCTGTGACCATGATGGTGGAGGGGACTCATGTTCAGGAAAGGTCCTAAGGAGGCAACCTGGTGGGGGGGAGGGGGGTCAGAGTTTACTAGGGCAAAGGGCCCTGCCTGTGGGCCTCCTGCAGCAGCTGGAGAAACCAGACACGTTCTTCTACCTCTGGCCCCACTAGGCAAAGTGGTGCTGCCAGCCCAGCCTGAATCCTATGAGGACAGCCCTGTCCTTGGGCACTTGGCCTTGCCCCGCCCTCTGGGGGTAATGAACTGAAGTAGCCTTTCCTCTTTGGGAGAGAGAGGCCATTGCCTACATCCAGGCTCTTCCGGCTGAGAACAAGCTAGCCTCTGGAGGAGCAAGAGCCTTCTCTGCTCCAGGGAAAGTTCGGGGCTAGGTGTCCTCGACAGGAGGGCAGACCCCCCACTCCTCTTCCCCAGTGATGGGCCGGCTACTAACGTCGGCCCCTAAATGAGAACACTTTATCCACCACATTGCAAATGAAGTATAAATACGTACACAGAATCCAAACAAAGTTCCAGTAGAAGTTGCTCACAGGCCCCTACAGGGGCCGGCTTGAAGAAAAATGAAGTCACCCCTTTGTTCTCTGTATCTCTGGAGGCAAAACTGTCCCCCCTTGTATGTGAGTAACCATGGGGACAGCTCAGGACAGAGAGAGTTTCAGACTTAGAAACACTCCCATCCCCAACTCCTCTCTTCCCTCCTCAAATCCCTCCCCCCAATCAAAAAAAAAAAAAAAGAAGAAGAAGAAGAAACACCTAAATCTTGCACCGAAGGACTCTGGAGCACATGAGGATGTAAACCTCTCACTCCCCCTGTCAGGCAGGGGAACTCTGTCCCGAAGAAGAAATGATTGGCCCAAAGGCCAAGCTCCTGACTCCTGGGTGCCCCGGACACACGTTCCTGCGAATGACGAATGACGTTTAGGGAGGTGAGGGGGTGGGAGGGGTTGACTCAGTCCCGAGGAGGGGTTGGCACGAGGCACTTAATTGGCACCCTGCTGGAAGATGGCTGGATTCAACCTCCACCCACCCGGCAGCCCTATGGCCCAGGCGGGCTGGGTAGGGGCTGGGTAGGGGCTGGGTAGTCCGCACTGAGTCCTAGGCCCTGGGGTCCAGGGAGGGACTGAAGGAGGGACCAGAAAGAGGAGACACAACAAAGACACATGGAACTGGGTCCCCACGTGAAGAAGCACCAAGAGCACCGGCCTTCCCTGGACGGGTGGGGGAGAGAGCCTGGGAGAGGCGAGGCAGCAGGGGGAATGGCTGGCGGGCAAAGGGACAGGCATGTCCTTTCGTAAAGGCGAGAAGGGGAAGTGTGAAGGGGGGCCAGAGAAGGAGTGGTGGGGGTGGGCAGAGAATGAGAAAGAAACGGGACCATCCATCCACGTCCTAGGGCTCTGGGGCAACTTAGCCTCATGATGGTCCTTTGGGCCCTTCCAAAGGCCCTTTCTGGCCCCCAGGAATGAAAGGAAGGCCTAGCTAGACTTGGAGAAGGATCTCAAATGCCTCAGACCTAAGGGGCTGGGGGAAAGTGTGGACGGAGATGGACAGAGAGGTCAGGGGAGGTCTGGGATGGGGATGCTCCAAGACCCCTGCGAGACCAAGCCTAGGGAGGAGGTAAGGAGTTTACGGCCGGCATGAGTTTTGAGTGCTAGTGGGAAGTGCCCCAGCCTGGGGGGGCGGGGGGCGGGAGGACTGAGGGAACAGAAGAAACTGACTCCCCTGCAAGCTGCCTGGCTTTGGTTTCTTGAACTTCAATGCAGCAGCAATGTATCTGCTCCCCACCAAGTTTAAGGCCTCCTCGGGACCCTCTGAAGGCTGTTTCCTGGGCTAGTGAGCCTCCCGGTTCACGCATGGTGGGCTCCGTGGGCAAGCAGAGGCCGGAGGAGAGAGTGGGAAGCACACTGTGCCAGGACTCTCTGGAGATCAGTGCCGGCACAGGGCCTACATGGTGCCCGTCGAAGAGGGCTCACTAACCCGCTGGTGGGCCCTCCACGCAAGGGACCAGGGAGACGGCTGCCAGCCAGTTTGCCCTCCCCCCACTTTTATTGACAGGCTGATAAAGTGGCTGCTAGGAACCAGTCTCAGGGCTCCGGTCTCCTGCCTCCAACCCTCGCCGGCAGCAGGGCCTGGGAGGCACCCTGCGCCCCGAGTAAGATGCCTGGGTCCAGGCAGTGAGCAAGAGGCCCTGAGTTCCTGCCATCCCATCCAGGGCTCCAGCAAGAGGAGGGACAGGAAGCCACTGGGAGGGCTGCCCAGGTTCCCGACAGCTGCTGCCTGCCCATCCATCCGTCGTCGACGAGGACTTCTCAAAGCTCCAAGGACAGAATGGTGGGGGAGGGGAGGTGGAGGAGGAAGAAGGAGGCGGTCCTGGAAGCCGGAGGTGGTTAAGAGGTGCAGTCCTGTTGCCGAGCAGCCGGGCCGGGGCTGCTTACTGCTTCTCCACGGCTCCCTGCTCAGCCGCGCTCTCCTGGCCGGCGGCCTGGCCCTGGGCCTGGGCCTGGGCCTGCCCGTGCCACGGGGTCTCCTTGAACACAAACCAACAGTTCCCGGCCCACAGGAAGAAGTTGATAAAGCCGAAGAGCTGCAAGGACATTGGGTAGTTTGTGAGAAGAGGAAGGGGCCTCATGGGAACAGGGAGGGGAGTACCTGGGGTGGGGGCACACGGGGAGGGGGCGGAGGGCTGCAAAACCTGAAAGACAGGACGCTGGATTTTGAGACAGAGTTCAAAGCCATCGCCCACGAGGAGGTCCTCTGATGGAAGGGTCTAACTGTGTGCACAGACGCACCGAGCTGAGGTGTGGGCGCTGGGGGACTCCGGCCCCCAAGGTGGAGCCCCGTGCAAAGCACAGCAAGAAGCAAGGCCCCTGGTGGCGCTGTGCCGGGGTGGGGCCCCGTCCCCAGAGCCCTCTGCGGGGTGGGTGTGGCCAGAGCTGTCCAAGGTGCTCCTTCCCCAGGGCCAGGGACCCGGCCAGGGCTCTACTCATGTATTTATTCAAAACATTTAAAAACCTATCAGCAGGAAGTATTTAGGGGGAAGGGTACTGATGCCTGCAATTAACTCTGAAATGCATTAAAAATAAGATGGATTGACAGATGGGGAGAGGCGGATAGACATGGCACAGCCTAGGGGATGAGTACGTGGGTGTTCATTGTAAAATTCTGCTGCGTGTGTGAACGTTTTTACAATAAAACGTTGGGGGAGGTGTGAAACCTATCCGCAGGGCTCCAGCGAGGTCTAGAAGGCCCCCTGGTGTGCCAGACATTGAACCTTTCAGTTGCTGGGCCTCGGGGAGGTTCGGGTCATTTTCAGGGTAGGGTTGGTGGCTGGCATGACAGGGGACCTTTGAGGAGCCCGAGGCCTCAGTTATCTCCCGACTGATATGAAAATGTGTCGACACTGTGACAGCTGGGATGTGCACCCCCCGCTGGACCCACCGCTGCCCACAGCCCTTCTCCGGCCGGAGCCCCCGTGACAATGAGCCCCTTCCTGATCCGCCTGGATCTGCACGCGGCTTTGAGCGCGGCCACGGCCCTGGGCTCCGCCTTCCCACACACGGCGAAAAGGCAGGGGGAGTGGGGGTGCGGGGAAGAGCAGGGAAATGGGAAGGCAGGGTGCAGCAGGAGGAAGGGACAGGGGGCGGCGTGGCTCGCGGGGCCCCCTATCCCAAAATGACTTCCCGGAGACAGCAGCCAGCGTCAGGCACAGGGGGCGCTGCTCTGGGGGTAGGGGACACCGGTCGTGGGGTCACCCTCTCGGTTCTCCTCGGAACTTGCTGCTGGGACAAAACTGGGCAGCTGGGACAGTACCGCCTCCCTGCCCCAGCCCCTCTGGTGGCCGCAGGCCTCACCACGGAGAGGTTGACCAGCCCCATGGAGGGCGTGGCCCCGGCGCTGCACACCGCGTCCTCGCCGTGGCACACGGGCATGGCGGCGGTCAGGCTGGACGGCCGCGTGGCGCCCTTGACGTCGGTCAGGCCCTTGCCCCAGGCAGCCGCAGCTACCAGCCAGAAGAAGGTGAAGGAGACGGTCACACAGAAGTCCTGGGAGGAGCAGAGGGACAGGAAACACAATCGCACCCCAGGGTTCCCCACTTCTCTTCCTCTTGCTGTACTGCGCTGGGGTCCTGGGGGCCCCGGACAGCCCGACAGCCCAGCCGCGTCTCCGGGTTCCAGCTGGAGCCTCAGGGGGCCGACCCGTCCCAGCGAGACCCCGCCCACGCCCACGCCCACGCCCTCACAGCCGAGGTCAGCTAGCAAGGCACCAGGGCATCTGCTGGCCAGTGTCACCCCAGTACCCAAGTGGCCTGGACTACCCGTTCTCCCCTCCCTGCCTTTCCTTAAAATTTTTGAAAACAGTTTTCTTTTTTTTAAACGTATTTTTCGGTTACAGTTGACTACAGCAGCTTCGGGTGTACAGCGTAGTGCCTGGACGCACTAGCCTGTCCTTTGATCGACCACCTCTCGGCTACAACCGGTGGCAAAGGGGGTCCCCACGGACACCCCTCCACCTCGCACGCCCGGGATGGGGAGGAAGCAAAGGGGGAATAATGTTAATAATAGGTACTATTCTATTCCCACGTTATAGTTGAGGAAATGGCGGTTTCGAGAGAGTCGATAGCTTTTCCAGAAGCACACAGCTAGTAAGGGACAGCGCCGAGACTTGAACCCACGCGGGCTGGCCCGGGAGCCCGCTTCTCGAAGCTGTTGCGGTCCCCCGAGGAGGCCACGCGCTGGGAGGCTGGCGAGCAGAGGCCTGAGGCTGGGGCCTCCCACCGGCCGCAGGAGCTGTGGGGGCCGCGGTTTCCCAAGGGGACCGCGGCAAAGAGCGGCAGGCGGGCAGGGCAGGCGGGCAGGCGGTCAGGACCGGGAAAACCACCGCGCTGGCTCCCGCCCCGCCGGATCCGGCTAGCGCCCACTCACCGCCAGCGGGAAGCGCTTGTTCTCGGCGTAGAGGTTGTGGAAGCGCAGGTAGAACACCAGCGCGGCCATGGTGTAGAAGAAGGAGAAGATGCCCAGGGTCACGAAGAACTCGGCGGGGGCGGAGAAGTCCCCCATGAGGTGCATGGTCTTGGAGGTGGAGTCGTCGTCACAGAGGGGCATTTCGTAGGGGACCCGGTTCAACCTGCGGGGGTGGGGGCTGCTGAGCTGGGGGCGGCCCTGGCGGGGGTGGGGGGGGTAGCCTGTGCTCTCGCACCCACCCTCTACTCTTCCAGGGCCAGAGGGGGTGAACCTTACAGCCAGGAAAAGAGTGTCCCTGGGAGACCCCTCGAACCTTGCCTCCCGTTAAGCCACCCCCCACCCCCACTCATCCGCCTGCCCAGGTCTGGTGACCAAGGGTTTCCAAGTATCCCCAGGGCCCTTTAGGTCCCAAGCACAGCATATACAGTCCATCCATTCCTGGAAGCCCAGACCCCAGAAGCTGAGCTCCTCTCGCCCCCGCCCCACAAACACAGGCCCCGGGGCTCCATACCCTCCTGAGGCCCCAGGGAGACCACTGTGGACAAAACAGCGAGGAAAACAAACCTCCCAATGTATACAAAAGACCACCTCACTGGCTGCAGCTGCTAGACATTTCCAAAAAGGCGAGCCCTGTCCCCACTGTCCTCTGAACACTTGGGGGCCCCTCTCCCTCCGCTCCCAGGAAAGACTGTTCTCTTCTACTCCTGGGCACGGTGCGCCTCCTTGCATTGCGGTGCCTGGTGAGCACCCACCTCAGCTCTCGGGGATCCAAGCACTGACAAGGTCCTTACCTTCTAGGCAAGGAGGAGGCTGATGAGGGTCAGCGGGACCTGCCCAGCGTGTCCAGACTCCCGTGACCCACCGTTCCCAACTGCACGAGTTCTTTCTGTGAGGCTGTTGCCACCTGCTGTTAACTGGATCATTATTGCCACGATGGTCTGTCTGACTTCCCTCACATTTTCCTCTGGTCAGAGAGTCTGAAACTCCTGCAGAGCAGGAAGGACCCAGGTTCGGAGCGAGGCTGGTGGGGCCCGGCTGCTCACCTGAAGGGGTAGCCGAACAGGACGATGATGGCGCTCACGTCCTTGGCCTCGTTGTTGCAGTGAACCATCGCTCCCGTCTCCCCGCTGTAGGAGCCGCAGCACCCAAAGGCGAAAATGGCGAAGAGCTGAGGGACAGCGAAGCCCTTTGAGAGTCAGAAGGCCTCACCTGGCCAAGGTGGGACCCCTCACAACTACCCTCTGACTCTCAGTAGTACAGATGAGCGCAGGGGTTTGGGGGTGGTGTCGGGGTCTCTTGAATCAAGTCCTTCCTGGGCAGAGACCCGGGGCTCCCCTCGGTCGTCCAGTCTTGGGGACCTGGGGTCACTGCACAGGGCATGGGACCGGATGGCCACACAGATGAGGCCGACTTTGAGTGGTGTCTGGATGTGGCCCTGGGGGCCACAGGGAGTCTCCTTAGGATGATGACTAGCACAGAGTGACTTAGGCTTTCGGAACCTTCTAGCCCAAAGCTGGCCTTGAATTTCCTCCCCAAGGGAGAGGCACCCTGGAAATAGATTCCCCTGCACCAGCCTGGATCTGGCACGCCTGGAGTCTTCCCCGTGTCTCTTTCGATGCCACCATTGGATCCTGTCATTACCTTGTAGCTGATTTCCTGTGGCTGCCTGCCTCAGTGGAGGGGACGGAGCCGAAGGGGACACCCTCTGCCAAGCCTTCAGAGGGGCCAGGAGAGCAGGGCCCACGCTGCTCTCCTGCGGCACTGCCGCCCGACAGCTCCTCCCCCAGCACAGCCAGCTGGGCCGGTGCCCAGGGCCCAGCTCCAGCCCAGGCAGCAGCACCCTCAGCTTGCCTCGCCAGCCTCCACTCTCCCCCGGGCCTGCTCCCTTTGTGATCGGCTGGAGCTGCCTTTTCTCAGAGCTAAGGGAGGCGTTTCAGGTCACGTGAATTGTCTTCCTCTCCTTCTACAAAACCTCCTGTCTCGAGTGAAATGAAATGCCCTCAGCCTATGGTTTTCGAGTTTGCTTCTGGGGAGACGAGCTCGGATTAGAAAAGGAGGTGAGACATTGGACTCTTCTCCTCCCACGTCGTCGGCTCAGACCCTGGCTCCCGGGCTTGCTCGCGATGCAGCCATTGTTGTGGGGCCGGGCTCAGGCTCTGTGCACTGTCTGTGTTCCGTGTGTCTCCGGGACTCGGTGTCTTGGACGTTGAGCACCTAGAAGACAGCTGACCCGCGCCCCCGTCCTGCAGCCAGAGGTGGAGCCAGGGATGCACACACTATTTGGCTCACGCCTGCTCGTGTCACGGAGTGAGAAGAGACCTGGACTAGAAGTCTAGAAATCTGGCCCCGTCACCCAATTAGCTGGGTGACTTGCTCTGCTCTCCGAGTCTCCGTGTCCTCACCTGTAAAATCAGGGGTTTGGGGAGTCACGTGGGGGCCTTTCCAAGGCTGCAGCCCCTCACTTGCTGAGGGGAAGGCCGTCAGGGCGCGCTTGGCCGTGCTTGCCAGCAGCCGCGCCCATCCCGGGCTGGTGCCCGGTGCCACGGCCCCGCCCTGCACCGCCTGGCCTGGCACATCCTTTCTGTGATGGAGCGACTGACCCCCTTTAAAGGTCATAACGGGCACCTCTCTCTTTCTAGGAGGTTTAGTCCAGACAAGTGAGAATTGTCTCCGTTTTTAAAAACACGCAGGGAAGGAGATGGTGTGCCCTGTCTCCCATGCCGGAGGAACTTCCTCACCCACCCGACACTTCGGAGGGTGCTTGGAGCCCGGTGGTGCTCATCGTCCCGACAGAGCTGTGGGGACACCACCTAGCACCTCGGTGCCATCGCCTTTTGCACACTCCGAGTCGCCTCCCTGGGGTCACAGTGGGCCTTGTCTCAGGGGCTGTCTCTAGTCTTTTGTCCGCTCTGTGGTTCTCTGACTCCTTTTGGCTTCTGATGGCCAACCGGACACAATTAGGGCGTCACGTTCTAGGAGGGGCTGCATGGCTGGATGTATTTTTACCCGTAGGCGGTTAGCCAGTGAAAGGCCCCGTATAGGTTCCCTGAGAATGTGGGTACCCCTAACCGGGGGCAATGGAATGGGCTGTTCCAAAAGCTTCTCTTCACCCACGTTCCCTGGACAGGCATCTTCAGAAGGATGACATTTATTGAGCATCTACTATGTGCCAGGAATTGCTCCAGCCACTAATCCTTAGCAGTGAACAAAAGAGAATAAAAATCTCTGTCTTCACGGAGCTCATAGTCCACAAGAGTGGCCACTAGCCCTATTGAAATATACATGAAAATTAAATGCAATTTAACATTCACTTGCTCAGGCACATTAGCCACATTTCAAGTGCTCACTAGCCACATGGGACTAGCAGATGCCATAGTGCATGATGCATTATAGAACTCTTCCATGGTCACCGAGAGTTCTGCCATGTGTAGGTGGCCACCTGGAGGTTCTGACCACCCTGAACCCTGCATTATGATTTTTTATGGGCACATATACTCATAATAACTTTCGTCTGAACTGTATTTTCTCCTGTTCTGATTCTTTGAAAGTCAGGAATCTCTAACCCCCTTAAATAACCCATTATTAAGCAGAATGCAAGATTCAGTCTGACGCTGCAGTCGGCTGTGTGGCAGGCGCTTTGCTGTGTGAGTGGAGGATGGGAGAACTCGGAGGAGGCTCTCACGGGTCCGCAGAGAGCCGCGGAGCAGAAAGGATCTCGGAGATTATCGAGCGCCACGGTCTTGTTTCTTGGAGGTGGACACTGAAGTGTCAGAAGATTAAGTGACTTTCCCAAGGTCACATTCAATCAATGCGAGAGCCGGGCCTAGAATTTGCATTTCCTGACCCACGTCCAGTGCTCTCTCTACTGTGTTCATTCATTTATTGACAAAGAGTCACTGAGCATCTACTTTGTGCCAGGTGCCCGAGACATAAAGATAAATAAGACGCTGCCTGTTCACAAGCTGTCTTCACAATAAGACGCTGCCTGTTTACAGCGAGAAAGGAGAGTGTCATGTTCAAACAGGCAAACAAAAACCCCACATCGCAGAGTTACGAAGGCTGAAAAAACCTCTCTCCCACAGGCAGGGGGGATTGTATGGCGGGAGGGTATCGTTCCGACCTGGGGTGCCGGAGCAGGGATGCCCCCTCCACCTTTCCGCACATGTTTTTTTTCTTCTCCACTGAGCCAGGTCACGGAGCCACAGGGGAGAGCGGGAGAGAACCGAAACCACCCCTGTCACCAAGCACCAGGCTCGGAGTTGAGCTATCTGGTCACAAAGAGCAGGGACCAAGGAGAGACAGACAAGGGGGTGGACCTCTGGAGTTCTGGTGCTGACCGGCCTTCCTCCGGTTGGACCCGCATTGCTGGGGACAGTGATGGCCAGACACCGCCCGCCACCCCCTCCTCTTCCTGCCTCTGCATCTCTTTCGGAAGGATGCCAGAATGATCTCGCCCGTGTAAGGATGGAGCTGCATGTCGGTGCTGACCTGCTGGCTGGGGAGAGTCCCGTGTCGGTCCTGAGAACACGAGCACCCCCGTCAATGTCGGTGTTCTGACAAGGAAGACAAGTCCCCCCCCACCCAGTCCTCCTTCCACCCTCATTTCATCGGTTTCAGGGACTCCGGGGGGCTGCTTCCACTTTCCCCACACTCATTTTTTTAAAGATTTTTAAAATTTATTATTAGAGAGAGGGGAAGAGAGGGAGAAAGAAAAGGAGAGAAACATTGATGTGCAAGAGAAACATGGATCGGTTGCCTCCCGCACGCCCCCAACCAGGGACCTGGCTCAAAACCTAGGCATGTGCCCTGACCTGGCGTCGAACCAGCAACCTTTCAGTGTTCGGGATGACACCCAACCCACTGAGCCACACTGGTCAGGGCTCCCCACACTTATTGAAATAGCTGATTTTGATGAGAGACCCCAGAGCTGAATAAGTGACTTTGGTACCTCAGAGGTGAATTGTGGATCTGAGGCGCACACAGTTAATGATAATATGACTTCTTATGGGAACAGTGACTCAGTAATCCAGGAGATTCTTTTGCACCTTGCCCTTAAAGTGAGGCTTTGGCAGTGACATTTGAATAATCTCACCAAAGGACAAGTCTAGCTGACAGTCTGCACGAGGGGCAAAGTTAGGGGACAGGGACGGTTCAGGAACAAGAGGGAAGGGAACCAATGCTTATGGAATAAGCCCTAGACTGACGGGCACGCCATGGTCTTCCCAGATGCTTGAGTGCTTTGCAGATACTGCCTCCTGCAGTCCTCCCAGGGGGCCCACAGAGACCTTACCCTCACTCACAGGCAAGAGACTGAGGCCCGTAAAGTCTCAGCACTTACTGTGGGCTCCATGGCTCAAAAGCAGAGGAGACTGGACTTAAATCAAGGCCCATCCAACCTCAAAATCTGCCTCTTTTTCCCTGGCTGAGTGCCTCCGTTGGTTGGAGCATCATCCTGGACACTAAAACGTTGTGGGTTCAATTCCCCTCTCGCCTTCTCTCTCCCTCTCTCCCTCTCTCTCTCTCTCTCTCTCTCTCTCTCTCTCTCATAAATAGACATGTCCTTGGGTGAGGATTTTTTTAAAAAGTGAAACTTTTAAAAAAATTTTCTTAAAAAACAAACAAAAACCCCCCTCGTTATCCAACAACTGGTTTATGCCCATGTTATTTCACTAGCTTAGTATCAACTTAGCAGGACCAGAATTGGAATTGAGGAGAGATTAGTTCATTTTTTAATTTCAAAGTCGTGCCAAGCCAAACTCCTGACTGATAGAACAATGTTCCTTCCTTCTCACCTTTAGGTACAGTAAAGCCTTTGCTCTTGGTAATAATGACAATGAAAGTTTTCAATTTGTGGGTCTGTGGTTTTTTTTTTTTTTTAATTTTTCCTTTTCTAGTCAGGAGCAATTGATCCCTCCACGCAGGAAAGGAGTGAAGTCCCAAAGGACATTTTCACAGTCACTTCTGGTGCTGGGTCCCAGGCACGTGTACGCTAGCTCGTCTGCAGGGACTCGGGACGAGGGACACTCGTGCTCTGAGGGTGGCCGTCAAGGCAAGTCAAGTGGCCTCATGGTGCCGTCCTTTGAACGAACACTGAGTTCAAAGTCCAGCCCTGGGCCTGGGATTTGGAATCATGAGAGAAAGGCATCTTCTCTCTCTCAATGGTTAGGGACTGTAAAAGGGTCACCAAGATGGGTCAGCGCTTCGGGACCAGGGCTGGACCTGGGAGGAGACTGGGGTGTTCTCCTAGGCGTTGCTTCACGCAGCCTGTACAGAAACAGCGCCAGGCCTGGGGGCAGGGGGGGGAGAGGGGCTGGGAAAGGATAGAATTGTTGAAGAAAGAAGCTTTGCAGAATCCCTGCCTTGGAAGATGATTCCATGGTCCAGTGACCTCATTGTGACCTTCGTCCCTTGACAGTCTTTCTCAAATGTCCCCTAGATCCATTTGTCTAGTTTAATGATAAAATGCTACTCTTACATTTCAAGCTCTGCTCCTTCGGATTGCGCATAACGGCCCCCCGGTTCTGGAGGGCAGTCCCAAGGAGCCTTAAGAGCCTCCTTGCACGGCCCCCTGCGGTGCTCGGGCGGTGGGGCCAGCACAGGAGAATGGGAGTGGGTGAAAGGGCTCAGTCAGCGGTCTGTCCAGCTGCTCTTGAGGCGGGGCGGCAGGGGGAGTGGAAAGTCCCGAATGGGCCCCAGAGTTTGCTCTTGGAAGCTCCCCAGGCTGGCCCGCAGCCCCAGGCGGCGTCTCAGATGCCCAGGGACAACCCCAAATGCCCATCACCCCCGAATCCCAGGTTCCATGACTCTCATCCAGACGATGACTTAGGAATGGGTGACGCGGGGCTAACTCCTGTCTCCAGGGAGTTAAAAACCCTTTAGAACTCAATCCTCCTCCGTATTAAGGGTAACCTACTCTCTAGCCGAATTCTGTGCTGAAAGCACATTGATACGTTATTCACACACCATGTGGTGTGCGGAGAGCCTGACCCAAATCTCCTCTGTGAGGGTACACTAAATGCTCCCAAGTCTTCACGGCCTGAGAGTGACTGCACCTGTCCGCATTCCCCGCGCACACCCAGGAGGCCTCGGGCACTGGGAAGGACAGGGAGCGGCCAACGTCTCCAAGGGCCGGTGAAGCAGGGGGATTGCATTTCCCCTGGACCATCGCAGGGGAAACTGAGGCCCTGGGCAGGTGGTTTCTTCAAGGTCACAGGCTCAGGCTGACGGAGCGTGCTGTTTCAGCATGCCAACGCTTTCGGAGCAGAAGGGGGCCCTGGGGTGGTTCTGATGGACACTTTACTGATGTTGGAAACTGAAGTCCAGAGAAGTGACTCGCCCAAGGTCACATGGCTGAAGAAGGCAGGCCCCGTCGTGGAACCCAGGTCCCTGGCTTCCCAGCAAAATAGTCTACATTATTCTACAAGCCACATGCTGGCCACACTGTGATTTTTACTGTCTTATTTTTCCTTTCAGTTATTCCTGGAGCCATGAACTTCATTCATTCATTCATTCATTCATGCATGCATTCATCCACCGCTTCACTCAGTTACAGGAACCAGATTACCCTAGTGACCTCAACAGGGAAACCGGCAGCTGGGGCCCTTCCCGCGCCGCCCCCCCACCCCACACCCGGTGCACTTGCAGGGTCAGCCAGGGCCTGGTGGGTTTGGGTGCGGGACGGTTTCCAGCCCTGCCTCCTTCCCTTCTCCGCCCTCCGCGGCGCTCCTCATCTCCCGGGCGTCCTCCCCCTCCCGCCTCCGAGGAGTGGTATGTGCAGGATCAGAGTTCTGGAAAGGTTACACCCGGACCTCTCGCCCGGGTGAAATGTGAGCGCCTCGGGCAAAGGCTCCTTGCACATAGAAGGACCGAATCCCGGACTCGGCGTGCCTCGCTTCCCACCCTCCTGCCGCCGAGTGCTGCAGACGCAACCCCCGCCCGCCCCTCCCCCGCCCACCTGTCGCCGCCCCCCGCTCTGCTGCGGGCTGCCGGCCGCAGGACCTCCCTGCCCCCCCACTCTGGCCACATTGCTTCGGGTCAGCGTCACAGTCCAGGCTCCCGAAATAGCCGGCGGCCGGGGCAGGGACTCACCCACTGGAGAACTTTGATGAAGCCCAGCGGCTCCTCCAGCCGCCGCCAGCGCAGCCCCACGAGCAGGCGGTCCACCTGCGGAGGCAGGGAGGGCCAGGGGTCAGGGCGGTGGGGTTCCCCGGGCAATCTCTCCGCACCCCCGAGAGGGGGGGGAGGAACAAAAGTCCCGACATCCAGGTGCAGAGGGGCGCGCGGGGTGTACCTGCTGGCGCGGCGACTTGTCCGCTGGGCGACTCGGGCTCTCCGTCGAGGACATGCTGGCGCAGCGGGGCTGGGGCGCGGCGCGGCGGCTCCACTCCCACGCCCGGAGGCTGCGGGGACCGCGGTCGGGCGGGGGGCTGCTGGCCCGCGGCGGGGGACGCGAGCGGCGGCGGAGCGCGAGCGGCCGGCGGCGGCCCGAGGTGCAGGCGGGGTGGGAGGGTCGCGGGGCCGCTGGGGCTTGCACTCGCCGAGCTCGCGGCCGCCGCGCTGGCCCTGCGGCTGCAGAAAGCCCCCGAGTCCGATTCAAACTTCTGTCAAACTCGCCAGCGAACTTGGCCTCCTGGTCACGTGGCGCGCCCTGCGGAACCCTCCTCCCGCCCCCCGCGCCCCTTTCTCAGCCCGCAGGGCTCCTTAAAGGGACCTGTGGCCTCTGCGGGAAGTTCGGCCCCGAGGGGGCTCGAGTTCTTGGCCACAAAACCTCCAGGGCCAGACCCAAGGGAGACACACTCGGCCGCTCGGACCCGCTGCCGAAGTCGGACAAACCTGGAGCCCTGGGGCGCAGCGGGTCCGAGCCTGTCTTCCCCGAGCTCCCTGGATCTGGAGCTGTGTTCCCCTTCTTCCCCCGCGCAACACTCAGAACCGAAAGGATTATTTCACGGGCGTTATCAGCGCTGAAATCTAAATCTCTAGGGCTCCCAGCCGCACGGCGCACAGCAAACCGCTCGCTCCCACACTCTCGGAGAGCCCGCACAGGCGGGAGCGGCGCCACAACAGAAACAGCTCGTTTTTTATTCTGTGCAGGTGAGCGTTGCTGTAATTTTTTTTTTTTTTACAACAAAAGGCTTTCGTATGTCACGATTTAGAAGTTGTTAATCTTTTAAAAGCACAAACTCCGTCTCCTTCAAAGTAGCCTTCACGACTTAAGCGAGAGTCAAAATCCAGCCTGAGGACCAGGGGGCTCGGAGGAGGCAACTCGCGGGGAGAAGGTGACGCCGTGGCGCCGCGGCCGGCCTGCGCCGGGCCCCGAACTCGCAGACACTGCGCTCGGCGGGAGCCCCCGCGAGCGGTCAACGCTTTTACACGTTCCGGTGACCGGACGGTGAATGTCCGCGGTGGAAGGATAAGGATCTGTCCAAGGTCGTTGAATGAGCCCGTGGGCGGTGCGGGGAGGAGAGAACCGCCCGCGCCTCCTGCGCACCTCCTCACGGCCGTTCTTGGAGGTGTCCGCTGGGGCTCGGGGAGGGCCGTTTCTGAACAAGCATTTAGCTCGTATTAATCAACTCATTCCCCCGCTGAGGAAGTGCCTCCCGAGGCTGGGGTGGCAGGGAGTGGCTGGGATCAGCTCGCCGGGACTTGAAGGACACTTCTCCAGATTGCCAGGCGAATGTAGGCTCAGGGAGGAACAAGCGAGTCCCCAGTCCAGATTTTTAGTGAAACGTTCTGCAGTTTTAGGCTCCTTTCCATGGAATGGGGGGAATAATTTCTGTCTTACCTACTGCGGAAGGTCATCATCGCGAGGATTAAGCGTAAATGCCCACACCACAGAAACATGAAATAATGCTTATCACCAGTGTCTACGGCAACGTGTTTGTGCAACGTTCACTCAGTCAGAAAAGAACCAGAACAATACACCAAAAACCCACCCACACACCCATCAGCCTCGTTAACGCTCTGCCTTGTCTCAAATCCATTCTTTCTAAGTGAAACAAAAATTGCATATAAAATTAAAGTCCTTCGTATCCTTCTCCCCCTCTCCTTCCTCCCCAGAAGCAACTACCACCCTCTCCTGAATTTGTTTTTTTTTATCAGCCACATGTGTATTTTAATACTTTTACTATATACATGTATATAACTACACCTAGAAACAATACATAGCGCTTCACCAGACATAGTGCTGTTTTACTCATTGTTTTGAACTTGATCTAAACACTATGCTGTAGGTAACCTTCTTTAACTTCCTTTTTAAGTTAATGTGGCGTTTATGAGAGCTATCTAGCCTGATGCACGTACCCTTAGTTCAGTTACTTTAGCTCCACGGCCTTCCACAGTGTACACAGCCCATAGTGTACTTACTGACGCTCATACTGATGAACATGCAGGCTTTCCCGAACATTTCCCCTTACACACCGCGGTTCCCTGAATGGGCACGCCTCCCCCGGTGCGCATGCGCATAGGCTGCTATGTGGCACCGATTTTCCAAATTTCTTTTCCTTTTTCTTTTCCTAAACGCAAACCCTGGTAAGGAAGAAATTTTTATGGCCCATTACAGGGAGTGGGCAAAAGTAGGTTTACAGTTGTGAGCAGTGAGAAACAGAGTTTAATTCTTGTATTATTATGGATTATTGCATTATTTATTTGTATTACACCTGTAACCCTCCCTTTGCCCACCTCTGTATAAACGGAAACAAAAGTTTCACAAAACATTCTCATATTTTCTACTCCATTTCATTTTTTAAAAAAAATTCTGGCCATTCAGCCCTGGCTGGCGTAGCTCAGTGGATTGAGCGCGGGCTGCGAACCAAAGTGTCACAGGTTCGATTCCCAGTCAGGGCACATGCCTGGGTTGCAGGCCATGGCCCCCAGCAACCTCACACTGATGTTTCTCTCTCTCTCTCCCCCCGCCCCCGCCACTCCCTCCCTTCCCTCTCTAAAAATAAATAAATAAAATCTTCAAAAAAAATTCTGGCCATTCAGAGGCCCATCCGGGTTTTGTGTGGCCTAACGTTTATAGAATCTGGGGTCCTCCTTTAGAAAAAGAGTAGGAAATTGGTAACCAGGCCTTAGAAGAAGTGTTGCGAGCGAGGGGTTCTGAAGCTTAAGCTTCATTAGTTACAGTGTAAATTCCCTTCTAAGCAGACACTAGGTGGATTTAATCACTCATGAACAATGGGTCTCCACCAGCAGTTTGAAAAACATCACTCTATACTTAAAAGTGAGCTGGCTGTGTCATAAGACGAGACATTTCTTTCTTTCTTTCTTTTTTTTTAAAGAGAGGGAGTGGAACATTAATGTGTGGTTGCCTTTCACATGTCCCCTACTGAGGATCTGGCCCAAAACCCAGGCATGTGCCCTGACTGGGAATCGAACTGGTGACCCCTTGGTTGGCAGCGCATGCTCAATCCACTGAGCTACACCAGCCAGGGCAGGTGAGAACATTTCAGCTTTGAGTTTTGATAAATGTCACCAACCCCACAATCAGGATGCAGTGCTTTCCAATCATTCCTAAGAGCTCCCACCTGCCAGTCTGCAGACAGCCATTGACCTGCTGTCGCTATAAATTAGTTTTGCCTTCTCTAGAATTGCAAATAAGTGGAATTATACGCTACCTACTCTTTTGCAGCTGACTTCTTTCACTTGGCATAATGATTTTGGGATTCCTCCATACTGTTGCACTTAGCAGTTTGTTCCTTTTTGTTGCTGAGTAGCATTCCATCATATTATGAAGTCTGATCCATCACAGTTTATCTAGCCACCTGCCAAAGCACATTTAGGTTGTTTTTTCCTTTTGTTGTTATGAATAGAGCCACTATAAACATTCTTGTACAGGGTTTGGAGTGAACATATGCATTTATTTCTAGGTCAAATGCCTAGAAGAGGAATTTCTAGGTTATGAATAAATACATGTGTATTTAATTTGATGTGAAACTACCAAACAGTTTTCAAGTGTAGCTTTTCCACCAACAATGTTGCTTCGCATCTTCTCCAGCACTTAGCATTAGTTTTCTTCATTGTTGTTTTGTTTCTGGCATTCTAAAAGGTATCTCACTACGGGTTTTTTACACCAGTTTTTGTTTTTCAATTACAGATGACATATAATATTATATTAGTTTGAGGTGTACACCCCAGCGATGAAACATTATGTATAAATCTTGTACCCATCTGACATCACACGCAGTTATTAGAATATTGCTGACTATATCCCCTGTGCCACCTGTACATCTCCGTGACTGTTCTGTGACCACCTTATTCCCTTCACCTTTTTCACCCAGTCCCCCCAGCCACTTCTCTTCTGGCAACCGTCAACCTGTTCTCTGTACCTATGAGTCTGCTTCTGTTCTACTTGTTTGTTTTGCTTTTTACATTGTTGATAGATATGTACTTATTGTCATTTTATTGTTCATATTTTTTATCTTTTTTTTCTTCTTCTTAAAGAAGAGCCTTTGACATTTCATGTAATACTGGTTTAATGGTGATGACCTCCTTTAGCTTTTTCTTGTCTGGGAAGCTCTTTATCTGTCCTTCGATTCTAAATGATTGCTTTGCTGGATAGAGCAATCTTGGTTGTATGTCCTTACTTTTGATTTTATTGTGGTTTTAATTTGTATTTCCCCAATAGCTAATTATGTAGAACATCTTTTAATGAGCTTGTGTACCGCCTGGGTATCTTCTTTGGTGAAGTGCCTGTTCAAGTCTTTTGCCCATTTTTAAACTGGTTTTTTTTGTTTCTTACAATTGAGTTTTGAGAATTCTTTACATATTCTGAATGCAACTCCTTTCTGAGTATGTGATTTGCAAACATTTTCTCCCAGTCTTTGGTTTGTCTTCTCATTCAGAATTTTTTAATTTTAATGAAGTCCACCTTATCAATTATTTTTCTCCTGTAGGTCATGCCTTTGATATTGTATCTAAAAGGTCATCTCTACCCTGGTTGCTGTGGCTCAGTGGATTGAGTGCCAGCCTGCAAAGCGAAGTGTCACAGGTTCAATTCCCATTCAGAGCAAATTTAATTTTTTAGAGAGAAGGAGGGAGGGAGAAAGAAAGGGAGAGAAACATCAATGTGTGGTTGCCACTCATGCACCCGCTACTGGGTACCTGGCCTGCAACCCAGGGATGTGCTCTGACCGGGAATTGAACTGGTGACACTTTGGTTTGTAGGCCTGCACTCAGCCCACTAAGCCACACCAGTCAGGGCACCCTCAGCATTTTTTAATCCGTAAAGTTACTTCATAGCAGATATTCCATTTTTAGAAAAGTCTGCCTGTTAGGAGTAGAGGTTCCCTACTAAAGGAAATTAAGCACTTACCAAATTTCTATCCTAATGGATTTTTGTTCATTTGTTTTAGATAATATTGGGAGATACTAAAGACTTCTTGAACTTCTGGTAAAATGGCTTCTACTCTCTGGAATCCCAGTTCTGTTGGACTGGGATTTATAAGCAATTTGTAAAGGCCTAATGTACTTAAAAACCACTTAATCTTCACACATGCTTCAGAAGAAAAGTTTAAGGGAAACGTATATATGAGGGTAAAAATCAATGGCTGTCACGGCAATGAAAAATGAAAATCGTGACATTGTGTGCAGCAGTGCTTTAAAGATTTCTATTTTTTTTCTG